GTGTAGGTGTGTGTCTGTGTGTATGTAGGTGTGTGTGTGTAGGTGTGGGTGTCTGTGTGTGTGGGGTGTGTGTAGGCGTGTGTGTAGGTGTGTGTGTGAGTGTGTGTGTATGTGAGTGTGTGTGTGTACGTGTGTGTCTGTGTGTGTAGGTGTGTGTGTGTAGGTGTCTGTGTGTGTGTATGTGTGTGTACGTGTTCTGTGTCTGTGTGTGTAGGTGTGTGTATGTGTAGGTGTGAGTGTGTGTGTGTAGGTATGAGTGTGTTTGGTGTGTGTGTGTGTGTAGGTATGAGTGTGTAGGTATGAGTGTAAGTATGAGTGTGTTTTGGTGTGTGTGTAAGTATGAGTGTGTTTTGGTGTGTGTAGGTGTGAGTGTGTAGGTATGAGTGTGTTTGGTGTGTGTAGGTGTGTGTGTAGGTATGAGTGTGTGTGTGTAAGTAGGAGTGGTTTAGTGTGAGTGTGTGTGTAAGTATGAGTGTGTGAGTGTGTGTGTAAGTATGAGTGTGTAGGTAAGTGTATGTAAGTAGGAGTGTGTTTGGTGTGAGTGTGTGTAAGTATGAGTGTGTAAGTATGAGTGTGTAAGTATGAGTGTGTTTTAGCGTGTGTGTAAGTAGGAGTGTGTTTAGTGTGAGTGTGTGTGAGTGTGTGTGTGTAAGTATGAGTGTGTTTTAGTGTGAGTGTGTGTGAGTGTGCGTGTGTAAGTACAAGTGTCTTTTGGTGTGTGTGTGTGTGTAAGTATGAGTGTGTTTTAGTGTAAGTGTGTGTAAGTAGGAGTGTATTTGGTGTGAGTGTGTGTGTGTAAGTATGAGTGTGTTTAGTGTGTGTGTGTAAGTATGAGTGTTTGGTGTGAGTGTGTGTGTGTAGGTATGAGTGTGTTTTAGTATAAGTGTGTGTAAGTAGGAGTGTGTTTTAGTGTGAGTGTGTGTGTGTGTAAGTATAAGTGTGTAGGTATGAGTGTGTAAGTATGAGTGTGTGTGTGTAAGTAGGAGTGTGTTTTAGTGTGTGTATGTGTGTGTAAGTAGGAGTGTGTTTTAGTGTGAGTGTGTGTGTGTGTAAGTATAAGTGTGTAGGTATGAGTGTGTAAGTATGAGTGTGTGTGTGTAAGTAGGAGTGTGTTTTAGTGTGTGTATGTGTGTGTAAGTAGGAGTGTGTTTAGCGAGTGTGTGAATGTTCAATTCCCGCTCACGGCCAACACCCAGTGACGTTTATTAAACCGGCTCTGGGCCTCTGCTGGTTCGTAATAAACATCGTCACTGGGGAGACAAAGGCGGCCGGGCGTGGCGCTGACCACCCATACCCCCCCTCGTGTGTCGTAGGTGCTCGCTACTCGCTCACAGCACTTGCCCCGACTGTCTGCCGAGGCCACGCGGGGGATCTTTATCTTTGTGGCGTGCGTGTTGGATGAGTGGGTGAGTTCTTGTGTGTGCAACATGCACACATAAAGACAAAGATCCCCTTCCGCCTGTGTAGGCTCCACAGGCATCTCGGGTCAAGTGCTATTAGCGCGCTAAGGGGGTAGGGTGGGCATACCCACGCCCGGCCGCCTTTGTCTCCCCAATACTGACGTTTCACACAGCGCAGCAGCAGTGACTCGTTTGAGGCTGAGTCGACCTAGGGGAGACCCAGGACCGGATTCGCTGATGCGTCATCGGTGCTGTCCGTGAATGGAACTCGGGGTCGCCGGATTCGTGTAGCGCAGAGGCGCTAACCACTGCGCCACCGCTCCCCACGCCACCACCACCACAACACACCACAACACACACAACACAACACACCACAACAAATATCGGTGTTGTCACTTTTATTTTGTACACGAGACGGGAAATGGGTAAACGCCGTTGCCTCGCATCGGCTGCATAGGACAACGTAGATCATCATTTGACGACACCTCTGATGAATTCAACATCATCATCATCAGCAACATCATCAGCAGCAGCAGCATCAACATCATCATCAGCCTCAACGACTGGACGATATCCATAACGCAACAGCAGGAACATACCGTGAACCCCCCACGCGTTCGACCACATCAACAACAGCCCGCTGCTGTAACACGCGGGAGGACAGCCGGTCACACATTGTGAAGAGCCCCGCCAGGAGATGTTGACTACCTCGCCTGGTGTGCAGGAGGTCCGTGGGTTCGATCTAGACCCTGACGACGCCTGCTGCTGTATATTTGGAGTTTGCAGTCTCTCTGTCTCTCTCTCTGTGTGTGTCTCTCTCTGTGTCTCTCTGTCTCTCTCCGTGCCTCTATCTCTCTCTGTCTGTCTCTGTCTCTCTCTCTGTGTGTCTCTCTCTGTGTCTCTCTCTGTGTCTCTCTCTCTCTGTGTCCCTCTCTGTCTCTGTCTCTCTGTCTCTCTCTGTGTCTCTCTCTGTGTCTCTCTCTCTGTGTATCTCTCTCTGTGTATCTCTCTCTGTGTATCTCTCTCTGTCTCTCTGTCTCGCTGTGTCTCTCTCTCTCTCTCTCTGTGTCTATCTCTCTGTGTCTCTCGCTGTGTCTATGTGTCCCTCTCTGTGTCTCTGTCTCTCTCTCTCTATCACCCCCCCCCACCTCCGGCTCCTATGATTTGTTTTCTCCCCTTCCACATTTAGAATCATCATCATCAACAACAACTACGACAACGACGAGTGTTTAAGGAGTTATTTGGCCGCTGGAAATTCCCAGTCGACAAACATCCAGTGTCGTTGAGCCGTTACCACTCGCGTTAGCCCCCTCGTTTCTGACAAACAACACAAACCAGGCTATGTAGTAGAAGCTCAGTGGTTGGTGGTGGGGGGAGCCTTACTTGCTAAACTACAAACATCGTCGACTTTTCATAGTCTCAAGGCTGTCACCAACACCCCAACAACCCCCACTACTACCCCCTTGCCAAGCGCTCAAGAGGGTCCTAGCCTCCGAAACGTTTGCACCAATTCCAATTTCAACGTGTCACCTATGCTCCTGCTTGCTGCTGCTTGCTGCTGATGTGTTTTCTGTCGTGGAACGATCAAACATCCGTGCATAGCGACATCTTTACACCCCGAGCGGGCAATCCTCCCTCCAAAAACATCTTTTTAAGTTATCCCCTCCCGGTAAAAATAAACCATCACTTCGTAAAATATCTCCCACGTAGACGTCCCCTCTCTCTCTCTGTTACAATTATTATATAATATATATAAGGGTTACGCCAACGGTATAGATTAGGCATTGCTTTTTGTAATATATATCGACACTTTTCTGTAATATATTAGCTTATGTTAAGTATGTACACGACACACACACAGACACGTGTGGTCCGATCGTTTTAGAAGATTTCACAGCATGAGACGCGGCTCATCAAAACTTTGGGATTCAGTGTCGATTTAAAAAAAAAAATTGAGTCGTTCCCATCGCGTCACTCATTCGCGTCACTCATTCCATCCGACCAATTCCCGTTTGTTAGTCGTTCGTTTTGCCACGCGAAATTGCCGACCCCGTCTCGAGGACGACTCGTTCATTCGCTCGATCTCATTTTCACCATGCCCACCCCCCCCCCCCCCCATAACTCATTCACTCCGTCGTACCTCTACGACTCACTCATTCGCTCGCCCACTCGTTCGTTCGCAGACTCGACTCACAAAGGCTGCTGTGAAGGTGACGACGACTACGTCGTTAAAAAGGCACTGGCCTCACAAAGTTTGGTGGACGAATTCCAAGGCACGTCACGTACCATCCGAAAGCACGCTCAGAATATTCATACTGGACAAATCCGATGAGCTGTGAAGCTCTTGATTTTTTTTGGGTTAAAAACAGATGTTCCAGTCCTATTCGAAGCAGAGCGAGTTTTAAAACATCTTTTAAAAAGGCAAGGACACAATCCGTCCCGTTCACGTGAGCCCACCCACCCGCTCATTCGCTCACCCACCCACCCACCCGCTCATTCGCTCACCCACCCACCCACCCGCTCATTCGCTCACCCACCCACCCACCCGCTCATTCGCTCACCCACCCACCCACCCGCTCATTCGCTCACCCACCCACCCGCTCATCTGCTCACCCACCCACCCACGTCTCTCACTCACTCACCCACCCACCCACGTCTCTCACCCTCTCACCCACTCACCCACCCCGCTCACCCACCCACCCACGTCACCCACCCACCCGCTCATTCGCTCACCCACCCACCCGCTCATCTGCTCACCCACCCACCCACCCACGTCTCTCACTCACTCACCCACCCACCCACGTCTCTCACCCTCTCACCCACTCACCCACCCGCTCACCCACCCACCCACGTCACCCACCCACCCGCTCATTCGCTCGCCCACCGCCTGACCCATCGACCCCATCCACTCCTGGGACCCAGACAGGCTCTTAGCACCCGAGGGCATCCGTCACGTGGGCGGCTTCACGGCTCCCCGCTCAGAGCTGGGCAGACGTCACAGCAAGGAGCGGTGGTGGTGGTGGTTGTTGAGGTTGTTGAGGTTGTTCAGCCAAAATAACCAATCTTTGACCCTGAATTGTTCGTCGATTTTGTTGTTGTTGTTGTTGTTTTGGCATCATGACTTTGGTGATCTCAGGCTCCTCCCTCCCTCCTCATCATCATCATCACATCATCATCATCACCACCACCACCATCACCACCACCACCACCATCATCACCACCACCATCACCACTACCATCATCGCCATCAGCAGCCAAGATTGCTATATTTCAAGTGCAATAATCTTCATCAGCTACAGAAAATAAATCTACACATGATTATTATTAAGACAACACGGTCGATATCCCACACACACATATATACAATATACATCTATCATCATCATCATCATACAAACATCACAATCGGAGATTGTCCATTAAGAGTCACACAACTTGTGACGGGCGCGACCTCCTCATTCTCCTCGTCGTGTGAAACAAGAGGAGTTTCAGATTCGAAGTCCACAATTGACGGCGTTACGAGTGTGTCCATGAAGTCATCTCGCTCAGAGGGAGACATCTCAGCCCGCAGATCTTCTTGGTGCGTTCTGTTGTTGAGAAGTCATCTCGCTCAGAGACATCTCAGCCCGCAGATCTTCTTGGTGCGTTCTGTTGTTGAGAAGTCATCTCGCTCAGAGACATCTCAGCCCGCAGATCTTCTTGGTGCGTTCTGTTGTTGAGAAGTCATCTCGCTCAGATACATCTCAGCCCGCAGATCTTCTTGGTGCGTTCTGTTGTTGAGAAGTCATCTCGCTCAGAGACATCTCAGCCCGCAGATCTTCTTGGTGCGTTCTGTTGTTGAGAAGTCATCTCGCTCAGAGACATCTCAGCCCGCAGATCTTCTTGGTGCGTTCTGTTGTTGAGAAGTCATCTCGCTCAGAGACATCTCAGCCCGCAGATCTTCTTGGTGCGTTCTGTTGTTGAGAAGTCATCTCGCTCAGAGGGAGACATCTCAGTCCGCAGATCTTCTTGGTGCGTTCTGTTGTTGAGAAGTCATCTCGCTCAGAGGGAGACATCTCAGTCCGCAGATCTTCTTGGTGCGTTCTGTTGTTGAGAAGTCATCTCGCTCAGAGGGAGACATCTCAGCCCGCGGATCTTCATGGCACTTTCTGCTGCTGAGAAGTCATCTCTCTCTCGCCAAGCGGGGAGACATCCAAGACTCGGGGGGTCAGATCTTGTCGCTTTCGCATCGAGTCCCACATCAACCCACCCCACCACCACCACCACCACGTTCTAACAAAGTCCTCAACCCGGGCCCGACACACACGGACGCGCTTAGACAACCCTCCACAACGTTGGTCATCACCACCACCATCACCACCACCACCACCACGTCAATGCTGCTGACTCTGCAGGTCAGAGAACAGTGCTCGGAGCGCCGTGATCTCGCGCACGAGTTGATCCTCCCGTCTCCGCAGCCTCTCGTTGTCCGCTGACAGCTGCAGCACCCGACTCTGCGTCTCCTGGGATCGAACCTTCGCCTTGTCGCGACTCTTACGTACCGCCAGGTTGTTTCGCTGCCTCCTCAATCGATACTCGTCGCTCGCCTTGTCAAGACACCGCTTGCCCGAGCCACCACCGCCGACGCCTCTCCTGCCGCTACCGCCGCTGCCACCTTTGCCCGGTGACGGCGTCCCACCGCTACAGGACGTCTCGGACTCATCCTCGCTCGGCTCCATCTTCACCACCGCCATCCTCACGCCCGCGACGCCGCCACTCGCAGCTGTCGCGCCACCAGCGGTGGTCGAGGTGGACATCGGGAGTCCGTGGTTGCCTCCGAAGATCATCTCGAGGCGAGTTTCGGCGAGCTGCGGGTCACAGCCCAGCAGCGATTGCAGCGATCCGCCACTAGCAGCGTGCTGCTGGTGCTGCTGGTGGTGCTGCTGGTGGTTGTGGCTCTTCTGGTGATGGAAGAAAAATCCGTCGGAATCGTCACACAGCTGCTGCTGATGATGCTGCTGCTGCTGCTGTTGGTGTAGGAGCAGCTGTTGATGGCTCTGCTGCTGCTGCTGCATCTCGTGCAGCTGCATCTTACGATCGACCATTGCCTCTTCCTCCTCTTCCACCTCCTCCTCCTGCTGCTGCTGCTGCTGCGGTGCCTCGTCGGCCTCCCCGTGGCACTTGGCGTCGTTCTTGAAGAGGTCGCCGAGAAACTCGTCGGCGTAGAACTCGGAGAAGGTGCCTCCCACCACCTGCTGATGCTGCTGATGCTGATGCGGAGCTGCGGATCCCACCTCGGGCGAGATGAAGGAGCTCAGGTCGATGGAATTCTCGTACGCGTCACCCAGCTGCTGATGATGCTGCTGGTGATGGTGAAACTGACCCAAAGACTCCAGCGAAGACAAGTTTGCACTGTCATTCAAAAGCATCAGCGTAGTGGCAGTAACCTGCTGCTGCTGCTGATGATGATGCTGCTGCTGTTGATGATGATGAAGTGCCGATGGAGCCCCAGCTGCTGCTGCTGCAGACGAGGAGGATGAAGAGGAGGCGGCGAGATTGGCGGATTTGAGATCCTGCGCAGAGAGACTCACGTCCATCTCGTGGTAGAAGTTGTGGCTCTCGAACTGAGAGTGCTGACGCATCGTGGCCGCGACGATTCGGGAGACGTGGGGGGAGCAGGCAGGCAGGCAGGAGAGACAGGAGATGGGGGGGAGGGAGACGTCGAGTGAGACTCACGTCGCAATAGATGATCAACAACGATCAGCAACTCGATGACACCGACTCCGCGAGACTTTGCGTCGAGTGACTGTGCGATTTTGACTGTGACGGAGCTCACATTTATACCGACGGAGGGCGTGAACACAAGCACACTCACTCACACACACACTCACTCGAACCATCATCACCAAACCACACCCCCACCCACCCACCACCACCACTCCTACACCATCACCCCACGCCACCCGAATCGTCACCGCCTCCCCCACTCGCTCGCCCACCCACTCGCCCCCTCTTTCTCCCCTCTCACCCCCCACTCGCCCCCACCCCCACTCACCACCACCCCCACCACCACCCCCTCCAGCTCATGCCCCATTGACGTCATTACCTCGCCCATCTCCCCCCCCCACCACCACCACACACATCTCCCCCTGTCAATCTCCTGCTGCCAATCTTCCTCTGCCTATCTCACACTATCTCTCTCTATCATCTCCTACGCTCTCCACGTGTGTGTGTGTGTGTATCCCATGATCTTTGTGGGTATATCTCCCCATGGCTATCTCCTACTCACATCCGCCTCGATGTCAGACATCCCTCTGCCTATCTCCCCAACCATCTCCTCTATTATCTTCCCAGCTCCTACCCCAACCCCAGGCCACACGTCCCCCCGTCTCTCAACTCCCCACATCTCTCTATCTCCACCCCCTGTCCCTCGTCTCGCTGCACGATTTATAGCCATCTTTGTACATCTCCTGTTCGTGTTTCTCATATCTCCTCTATCCCCTCCTCCCCCTCTCTCATCTCGCTCTACTCTCCTGCATGCATCTCTCTCGCTCTGATTTCTCTCTATCTCCCAACTCTCCACAGATCTCCCCCCCCTCCCCTCCTCCCTGAAACCTCTTATCTCTCTCTCACTTCAAGCATCTCCCCATCTCTCTCCCCCATCTCTCCCCCATCTCTCCCCCATCTCTCTCCCCCATCTCTCCCCCATCTCTCTCCACTCTGTCCACATTATCTCTCTCTCTCCCCTCCATCTCCCCCATCTCTCCCCCATCTCTCTCTCCACTCTGTCCACATTCTCTCTCTCCACTTCAACCATCTCACCCATCTCTCTCCCCCATCTCTCCCCCATCTCTCTCCCCCATCTCTCCCCATCTCCCTCTCCACTCTGTCCACATTCTCTCTCTCTCTCCCCCCTCTCTCCTCGCCCCTCTCGGATCCCGCCTAACCAGTTTGTGCGTATGAAGTGGGCCGGGTGAGCTGTGGGGTGAGTGGGCCAGGTGAGCTGTGGGGTGAGCTGTGGGTGAGCTGGCGGGTGGATGAGTGAGCGGGTGGGTGAGCGGGTGGGTGAGCGGGTGGGTGAGCGGGTGGGTGAGCGGGTGGGAAGGTGAGTTGGTAAGTGGGCGGGTGGATAAATTGGTGGGTGGGTGAGTGGATGGGTGAGTGGGTGAGTGTGTGGGTGAGTTGTTTGAGCGGGTGAGAGGGCGGGTGAGCGGGTGGGAAGGTGAGTTGGTGAGTGGGTGGGTGGGTGAGTGGGTGAGTGAGTGGGTAAGTGTGTGGGTGGGTGTGTGGGTGGGTGGGTGAGTTGGTGGGTGAGCTGGTGAGCGGGTGGGCGGGCGGGTGAGTTGGTGAGTGGGCGGGTGAGCGATTGGGTGAGCGAGCGAGCGAGCGAGCGGGTGGGTGAGTGGGTGAGCGGGTGAGTTTGGCCCGGCAAGGTCACGGACTCGCATCGTGGCCTCGTGGGGTGCCGCAGAGCCCCCCCCTGTCCACCCCTCTCTCGCTCCCCCCTCTCGCTCCCCCCTCTCACTCCCTCCCTCGCCCCCCTCTCGCTCCCCCCTCTCCCAATCCACTGCTAGATGAGCGCCTCCAAACCGAGGCGGGTGTGGTTTGACTGCACTGTTGCCAGTCGCCTGGCGCTTTGGCCTTTTACACCCACACACACTCACTCAACCACTCACCCACCCACTCACCCACTCACCCACCCACCCACTCACCCACCCACTCACCCACTCATCCACCCACCCCACTCACCCACCAACTCACCCACCCACCCACTCACCCACCCACTCACCCACCCACTCACCCACTCACCCACCCACCCACTCACCCACCCACTCACCCACTCATCCACCCACCCACTCACCCACCAACTCACCCACCCACCCACTCACCCACCCACTCACCCACCCACTCACCCACTCACCCACCCACCCACCCACCCACTCACCCACTCACCCACCCACCCACTCACCCACCCACTCACCCACTCATCCCCACCACTCACCCACCCACCCAAGCACCCACCCACTCACCCACTCACCCACCCACTCATCCACCCACTCACCCACTCATCCACCCACCCACCCACCCACCAACTCACTGACCCACCCACTCACCCACCCACTCACCCACCCACTCATGCAACCACTCACTCACCCACCCACTCACCCACTCATCCACCCACTCACCCACCCACTCACCCACTCATCCACCCACTCACCCACTCATCCACCCACTCACCCACTCATCCACCCACTCACCCACTCATTCACCCACCCACTCACCCACCAACTCACTCACCCACCCACTCACCCACTCACCCACACCACTCACCCACCCACTCACCCACTCATCCACCCACTCACCCATTCACCCACCCACTCATCCACCCACTCACCCACTCATCCACCCACTCACCCACTCATCCACCCACTCACCCACTCATCCACCCACCCACCCACTCACCCACCCACTCACTCACCCACCCACTCACCCACCCACTCACACTCACCCACTGAGCCACCCACACACTCACACACTCACTCACTGACCCACACACTCACCCACTCACCCACTCATTCACTCACCCACTCACTCATTCACTGACCCACCGACTCACACACTCACCCACGAACTCACTCACTCGCTCCTCAACTCACCCCCCCCCCCCCCCCACTGATTCACTCACCCACTCACTCATTCGCTCACCCACTTACCCCCTGACCCACCTACCCACTCACACACTCACCTACTCCCCCAATAACCCACCCACTCGCTCATCAACTTACTCACCCAACCACTGACTCACTCATCCACCCACTCACCCACCCTGCCACTCACTCACCCACTCACTGACCCACACACTCACACACTCACTCATTCACTCACCCACTCACTCACTGACCCACACACACACACTCACCCACCCACTGACTCACTCATCCACCCACTCACCCACTCTCCCACTAACTCACTCACTGACCCACCCTCTCACACACTCACCTACTCCCCCACTAACTCACCCACCCACCCACACACTCACCTACTCCCCCACTAACTCACCGACTCACTCACTGACCCACACACTCACACACTCACCTACTCCTCCACTAACTCACCCACCCTCTCACACACTCACCTACTCCCCCACTAACTCACCCACTCACTCACTGACCCACACACTCACACACTCACCCACTCACCCACTCACCCACTCTCCCACTAACTCACTCACTGACCCACACACTCACCTACTCCCCTACTCACTCACTCACTGACCCACACACTCACACACTCACCTACTCCCCCACTAACTAACCCACCCACTCACTCACTGACCCACACACTCACACACTCACCTACTCCTCCACTAACTCACCTACTCACTCACTGACCCACCCTCTCACACACTCACCTACTCCCCCCTAACTCACCCACCCTCTCACCCACCCTCCCACTAACTCACCCACTCACTCACTGACCCACACACTCACACACTCACACACTCACACACTCACCTACTCCCCCACTAACTCACCCACACACTCACACACTCACCTACTCCCCCACTAACTCACCCACTCACTCACACCTCACCTACTCCCCCACTAACTCACCCACCCTCTCACCCACCCTCCCACTAACTCACCCACTCACTCACTGATCCACACACTCCTCCCACTAACTCACTCACTGACCCACACACTCACACACTCACCTACTCCCCTCTAACTCACCCACCCTCTCACCCACCCTCCCACTAACTCACCCACTCACTCACTGACCCACACACTCACACACTCACCTACTCCCCCACTAACTCACCCACCCTCTCACCACACCTGCAAGTCGCCTCACCTCTCTCTGCTTCTTCCCTCGCACTGCTCCGCTCTGGAATTCCCTCTCCCACCACCACCGTCACCACCACCACCACCACCACCCTCACCACCACCACCACCACCACCCTCACCACCACCACCATCACCACCACCCTCACCACACCACCACCACCACCCCACCACCACCCTCACCACCACCCCACCACCACCACCACCCACCCACCCCACCACCACCACCTCACCACCACCACCATCACCACCACCACCACCCTCACCACCACCACCATCACCACCACCCTCACCACCACCACCACCGTCACCACCACCCACCATCACCACCCTCACCACCATCACTATCACCACCACCCTCACCACCACCACCACCATCACCACCACCCTCACCACCACCACCCTCACCACCACCACCCTCACCACCACCACCCTCACCACCACCACCCTCACCACCACCACCCTCACCACCATCACAACCCTAACCACCATCATCATCACCACCACCCTCACCACCCTCACCACCACCACCATCACCACCACCCTCACCACCACCACCACCCTCACCACCACCACCCTCACCACCACCACCACCCTCACCACCACCACCACCCTCACCACCACCACCACCCTCACCACCACCACCCTCCCACCACCACCCTCACCACCATCACCACCCTAACCACCATCATCATCACCACCACCACCACCCTCACCACCCTCACCACCACCACCCTCACCACCATCACCACCCTAACCACCATCATCATCATCACCACCACCACCACCACCCTCACCACCACGGTCACCACCATCACACCACCCTCACCACCACCACCACCATCATCACCACCACCACCACCACCCTCACCACCACCACCACCACCCTCACCACCACCACCACCACCCTCACCACCACCGTCACCACCACCACCGTCACCACCACCCTCACCACCACCACCCTCACCACCACCATCACCACCCTCATCACCACCATCACCCTCACCACCACCACCACCACCCTCACCACCATCATCATCACCACCACCATCACCACCACCCTCATCACCACCACCCTCACCACCATCACCACCCTCACCACCATCACCACCCGCACCACCACCACCACCCTCATCACCACCACCACCCTCACCACCACCATCACCACCCTCACCACCACCACCGTCACCACCACCACCCTCACCACCACCACCACTACCACCACCACCCTCACCACCCTCACCACCACCACCACCCTCATCACCATCACCACCCTCACCACCATCACCACCCGCACCACCACCACCACCCTCATCACCACCATCATCATCATCACCATCATCACCACCACGACCATCACCCTCACCATCATCATCACTATAATCACCACCATCGCTACCACCATCATCATCATCTCTCTCCCCCAACCAATAACTTACAACAACATAACTTCGCCCAATGCATCAACCTCACTGACACACACATGCATGAATAAGAATGTGTGTATTTATTCTGGAGGAATCCGATGAGCTATGAAGCTCTTTTCAACGGATGTCCAGTCGGGGCACGGCGTCAGAAAGTTACAACGACAACAACCACAAACACAACAACAACAACAAACACAACAACAACAACCACAACAACCACAACAACAACAACAAACACAACAACAACAAACACAACAACAATAACCACAACAACGCAACCACAAACACAACAACACAACAACACAACACAACAACAACCACAACAACAACAAAAAACACAACAACAAACACAACAACAACAACAAACACAACAACAACAACCACAACAACAACAACAACCACAACAACAACAAACACAACAACAAACACACAAACACACAAATACACAAATACGACACGAGTACAAAGTGTGGAAAGGTAAACAAATCCTCCGAAACGTCGTGATTTTTATTTTATTTTACTTTTATTAATTTTAATGTTTTACCTACGTGACTTTACCGAAAACACCTAAGAATATGAATCCTTGCAGTCACGAAAGCTTCAAATCTAGAATTAGATGAACGTGTGTACACAGCAGTTCAAGTTGCACAAACACATCTATTCCCAAACTTGGGAAAGGTAGCAAAGCAACAGCAAGATCTTACAATCATGATTTCACGAATCACACAATCACGATCTCGCCGATCTCAGAATCACGATCTCACAATCATATCTCACAATCACGATTTCACTGATCTCACAATCACCATCTCACTGATCTCACAATCACGACCTCACGATCTCCTCCGCCGCACTCAGCGCCCCCTAGTGGACAGGGCCTGGTAGTGGTCACGCTGCATCAGAGACACCCGCACCCCTCGAATGTATCGGCCCCGGGGAGACAAAGGCGGCCGGGAGTGGGGCTTGACACACGCTCGCCCCCCCCCCCCAACCTGCCGGCCTCAATAGGTGCTCGCTAAAAGCACTTGCCCCTGCAGTCTATGTAGGCTACACGTGGGGAGAGAGGAGCGCTTGTGTCTTTGGTAACCCACCCCTCCTCCTCCTCCCCCCACCGAAGATAAAAACCCGTGGCGAATGGAAAAACTGGGGAGACAAAGGCGGCCGGGCGTGGTGCTGGTGTTGGTGATGGTTGTGGTGATGGTGTTGGTGATGGTAGTTGGTGCTGGTGTTGGTGATGGTAGTTGGTGCTGGTGTTGGTGATGCTGTTGGTGATGGTGTTGGTGATGGTAGTTGGTGATGGTGTTGGTGATGGTAGTTGGTGATGGTGCTGTTAAATGTGATAGTGGCGGCGGTGCTGATGATGTACATATGTTGAACTTATTTAGCACCGTACGTACCCTGCCGTAGGATAACAACACGAAAAGCAGTTGGAAAGAAATGCGTTAGACAGACAGATAGACAGGTAAGAAGACAGGTAAGGAGACAGACAGATCGACAGGTAAGGATACAGGTAAGGAGACAGGTAAGGAGACAGGTAAGGAGACAGACAGATAGACAGGTAAGGAGACAGGTAAGGAGACAGGTAAGGAGACAGGTAAGGAGACAGACAGATCAACAGGTAAGGAGACAGGTAAGGAGACAGAGAGAGGTCCGATTCCAGTGGGGTTAGAGGTCAAAATTAGTCCGGGATTTCAAAGGAACCCGGGTCGCCAGGTTCGTAGTGCAGCGCGCTAAACCGCTACACCACCGCTCACCACAAGGGACACACACACACCTTACACACACCTACACACACCTACACCACACACACCTACACACCATCACTCCTACACACACACACCTTACACACACACACCTACACACACACACACACCTACACACACCTACACACCTACACACACACCTTACACACACCTACACACACACACCTTACACACACACACCAACACACACAAACACCTATACACACACCTACACTCCTACACACACACACCTTACACACACACACCAACACACACAAACACCTATACACACACACCTACACTCCTACACACACACCAACACTCACACACACACACTCCGACACACATACTCCGACACACACACACCTACACACACACACCTACACACACTTACACACACACACTGACACACACACACCTACACACACACACCTACACACACTTACACACACACACTGACACACACACACCTACACACACACACCTACACACACTTACACACACACTGACACACACACACCTACACACACACACCTACACACACTTACACACACACACTGACACACACACACCTATACACACACACGAACACTCCTACACACACACACACCTACATACACACACACCTTACACACACCAACACTCATACACACCTACACACACACACACCGACACACCTACACACACACCTACACACACACACAACAACCGCCATTCGCCACTAAGTGGCGGTGACGTCATCACGACGTTTGTGCCAGGCCATGTGCACCTTGAGGCCACGTGGAGTGTCGAACGCCCGCTGGCAGGAGGTCACGGGGCAGACCCAGGTGCCACGGGTCGACTGACCGAGATGACCGAGATGACTGGCTGATGCACCACCAGCTGTACCTCCTACTGTGCCAATTTGCTGCGCTTTAGCCACCCGGCGCTCCGCTCGTTGTTGTGAGCGTCGCTCCTCCGCCCTCCGTTGTTGTTGGAGGGCGACTGCCTCCAACTGCCCAGTAGCGTCCTTCACGAGCCTCCTCCACAGAGGCCGATCTTGACACCGCTGGTAGCAGTCATCGGCAAGTACACTCAGCTCCACGTCCTCCTGTACCACATCACTCCATCTCTTCTCTAGCCCGTACCGCGCTCGTTTAGCCCCCTCTGTCCGGCCGAACAAAAGCTGTTTAGGCATGCGGTGGCTGGGCATGCGGGCTACATGACCCAGCCAACGCAGCCTTCATACGGGCTACATGACCCAGCCAACGCAGCCTTGCCTGCCGGAAGAGCTCACCGATGGGACTTTGTCCAGATCTTTCAAGGATATGTGAGCTCCTCACACAATCCAGCCTGGTTAAACCCAGGATAGATCGTAGGCAGGCCAGACTAAATTTTTCTAACCGGCGAAGATGTTCCATTTGGGGGGTCCACGTTTTGCAAGCGTAGGGAAGGGAGGGAATGACTGTGGCCGAGAAGACCTGAAGCTTCGTGCGACAGACCAGGTAGCTTCCACATAGCGTTACACAACCGATGAAAAGATATTGCCGCTCGACTGATTCGGAGACCTCTGCTGTTAAACCGGAGCAGGTCATGAGCACACTGCCCACACACCTACACACACCTACACCCCCTACACACACCTACACACACACCTACACACACCAACACACATACACACCTACAAACACTCTCCTCCACACCTACACACACACCTACACACCTACAAACACACATTTACATACACACACCTACACACCCCTACACACACACCTACACACACCTATACACACACCTACACACACACACACCTACACACACACCTACACGAACACACACCTACACACCTACAAATACACATCTACAAACACACACACCTACACACACACACCTATACACCTACACACCCCTACACACCTACAAACACACACACCTACACACTAACACACCTCCACACACCTCCACGCCTACAAACACACACCTATTCACCTACAAACACACACCTACACACACACACCTACAAACACACACCTATGCACCTGTCCGCACCTATTCCACACCTACACACACACCTCCACACACACACACACCTACACACCTACACACACCTCCACACACACACACACCTACACACACACACGCACACACACACCTATGCACCTGCCCGCCCTCATTCCACGCCTTCCGTCTTGTCGCATCTCGGCGTTTCCTCTCGCCGCGCCTGACGTTGATTGTTTCCGTTCTATTAATAAACCTTCGCTTGACGTCACGTGCCTATCTTTAGTCGCAACCCCGGGCAATGGGGGGGTGGGGGTTGCTACAGATGGAGCCTAAAGCATAGGCCCCCCACCAACCCTCGTCTAAGAATAGACAAAATCGGTGGTGCTATTAATAGACGATGCTATGTCCGGTACACTCGCTCACAACAGGCACTCACCTGCAGACAGGTACGCTAACAATAGCACGGAATTGTCGGCAGCGGTGCGCTCGGAGGCGAGCCGAGATAATTGCGGCTTCGAGGTTGTAACAGAAGTTCAGGCCACGTGGGCGAGATTGTTGACCTTCATGTGACTTGAGCCGTGCTGAGCTGAGCAAGCGATCGGTCGATGTGCCGTGAGTCTCGCGGTATAAACTGGCTGCAGAGTTTGGTGGTGCATGTTGTTTACGTCGTTCAAATGTGAAAATTCGGTCACAGTTCCTATGATCACTGCTGTTTCATTGCTTTTATGGCTTTATTTTGATGATTTTTGAAAAGTTGTTCGGTTTGGCCATGTGTGTTTGTTGTAGTACGGAGTTAGACTGATGGTCTTAATCTAAGTTGTCTTGTGGTTGTTGTTGTTGTTTGACTTGCATCCCACTGGAATTTTTGCACACAGTGTTGGTGTACGGTGCTTTTTCTGCAATATTTTGCTGTCTTTTCTTGGATTTTCTGTTTGCACTTAGTCACTTGAAGAGGTTTTCTTGCTCATGTTTTTGTTTTTTTGTTTGTTTGTTGCGGTTGCACCCGATTCAAGAGCCGAATGGCTCACAGGGCTACACCTAATACATGAAATTTGAAACTTGACCCAACCACGTGTTGACCCGGTCACGTGTTGACCCAACCACGTATTGACCCGGTCACGTGCTGACCCAGCCACGTGCTGACCCAGCCACGTGCTGACCCGGTCACGTGCTGACCCAACCACGTGCTGACCCGGTCACGTGCTGACCCAGCCACGTGTTGACCCGGTCACGTGCTGACCCAACCACGTGCTGACCCAACCACGTGCTGACCCGGTCACGTGCTGACCCAGCCACGTGTTGACCCAGCCACGTGTTGACCCAGCCACGTGCTGACCCAGCCACGTGCTGACCCAGCCACGTGTTGACCCAACCACGTGCTGACCCAACCACGTGCTGACCCAGCCACGTGTTGACCCGGTCACGTGCTGACCCAGCCACGTGCTGACCCAGCCACGTGTTGACCCAGCCACGTGCTGACCCAGCCACGTGCTGACCCAGCCACGTGTTGACCCAGCCACGTGTTGACCCAGCCACGTGCTGACCCAGCCACGTGCTGACCCAGCCACGTGTTGACCCAGCCACGTGCTGACCCAGCCACGTGCTGACCCAGCCACGTGCTGACCCAGCCACGTGTTGACCCAGCCACGTGCTGACCCAGCCACGTGCTGACCCAGCCACGTGTTGACCCGGTCACGTGCTGACCCAGCCACGTGCTGACCCAGCCACGTGCTGACCCAACCACGTGCTGACCCAGCCACGTGCTGACCCGGTCACGTGTTGACCCAACCACGTGTTGACCCAAACACGTGCTGACCCAGCCACGTGCTGACCCAGCCACGTGCTGACCCAGCCACGTGTTGACCCGGTCACGTGCTGACCCAGCCACGTGCTGACCCAGCCACGTGCTGACCCAACCACGTGCTGACCCAGCCACGTGCTGACCCAGCCACGTGCTGACCCGGTCACGTGTTGACCCAACCACGTGTTGACCCAAACACGTGATGACCCGGTCACGTGTTGACCCAGCCACGTGCTGACCCGGTCACGTGTTGACCCAGCCACGTGCTGACCCAGCCACGTGTTGACCCAAACACGTGTTGACCCGGTCACGTGTTGACCCGGTCACGTGTTGACCCAGCCACGTGTTGACCCAAACACGTGTTGACCCGGTCACGTGTAGACCCAGCCACGTGTTGACCCGGTCACGTGTTGACCCGGTCACGTGTTGACCCAACCACGTGATGACCTGGTCACGTGTTGACCCGGTCACGTGTTGACCCGGTCACGTGTTGACCCAGCCACGTGTTGACTCAAACACGTGTTGACCCGGTCACGTGTAGACCCAGCCACGTGTTGACCCGGTCACGTGTTGACCCGGTCACGTGTTGACCCGGCCACGTGTTGACCCGGTCACGTGTTGACCCGGTCACGTGTTGACCCGGTCACGTGTTGACCCAACCACGTGCATCGTTGTTGTTGGTGGTGGTGGGGGGGGAGCGGTGGCGCAGCGGTTAGCGCACTACGCTACGAACCCGGTGACCCTCCCACCCCACCGCCCTCTAACTTCAAATCCCGCTCACGGCCATTACTAACACTGGTCCCGGGCTTCCCTTAGCTCGACTCGGCCTCAAATGAGTGCTTGGTGCGTGATCTGTTGGGGAGACAAAGGCGGCCGGGCGTGGTGCTGGCCACCCACCCCCTCGTGTGCTACAGTGCCGGCTGCTGCTCGCTAACAGCACTTGCCCCAACAGCCCTGTGTGGGCTACACGGGGGACCTTTGTTATTTCGTATCGCTGCAAAAATGCCCGGGTCATCACAGGTTCCACAATGGCGATGTGAGTGAGGACACAGGGTTAGTGTTAGGGGTCGTGTAGTGTAAGAGGTAGTGTAGTGTAAGGGGTAGTGTAGTGTAAGAGGTAGTGTAGTGTAAGAGGTAGTGTAGTGTAAGGGGTAGTGTAGTGTAAGAGGTAGTGTAGTGTAAGAGGTAGTGTAGTGTAAGAGGTAGTGTAGTGTAAGAGGTAGTGTAGTGTTAGATGTAGTGTAGTGTAAGAGGTAGTGTAGTGTAAGAGGTAGTGTAGTGTAAGGGGTAGTGTAGTGTAAGAGGTAGTGTAGTGTAAGAGGTAGTGTAGTGTAAGATGTAGTGTAGTGTAAGATGTAGTGTAGTGTTAGATGTAGTGTAGTGTAAGCGGTAGTGTAGTGTAAGAGGTAGTGTAGTGTAAGGGGTAGTGTAGTGTAAGAGGTAGTGTAGTGTAAGATGTAGTGTAGTGTTAGATGTAGTGTAGTGTAAGCGGTAGTGTAGTGTAAGAGGTAGTGTAAGGGGTAGTGTAGTGTAAGAGGTAGTGTAGTGTAAGAGGTAGTGTAGTGTTAGGGGTAGTGTAGTGTAAGAGGTAGTGTAGTGTTAGATGTAGTGTAGTGTAAGAGGTAGTGTAGTGTAAGAGGTAGTGTAGTGTAAGGGGTAGTGTAGTGTAAGGGGTAGTGTAGTGTAAGCGGTAGTGTAGTGTAAGGGGTAGTGTAGTGTAAGGGGTAGTGTAGTGTAAGAGGTAGTGTAGTGTAAGGGGTAGTGTAGTGTAAGGGGTAGTGTAGTGTAAGAGGTAGTGTAGTGTTAGATGTAGTGTAGTGTAAGAGGTAGTGTAGTGTAAGAGGTAGTGTAGTGTAAGCGGTAGTGTAGTGTAAGAGGTAGTGTAGTGTAAGGGGTAGTGTAGTGTAAGAGGTAGTGTAGTGTTAGATGTAGTGTAGTGTAAGAGGTAGTGTAGTGTAAGAGGTAGTGTAGTGTAAGAGGTAGTGTAGTGTAAGGGGTAGTGTAGTGTAAGAGGTAGTGTAGTGTAAGAGGTAGTGTAGTGTAAGGGGTAGTGTAGTGTAAGAGGTAGTGTAGTGTAAGGGGTAGTGTAGTGTAAGGGGTAGTGTAGTGTAAGAGGTAGTGTAGTGTAAGGGGTAGTGTAGTGTAAGAGGTAGTGTAGTGTAAGGGGTAGTGTAGTGTAAGCGGTAGTGTAGTGTAAGAGGTAGTGTAGTGTAAGGGGTAGTGTAGTGTAAGAGGTAGTGTAGTGTAAGGGGTAGTGTAGTGTAAGAGGTAGTGTAGTGTAAGGGGTAGTGTAGTGTAAGGGGTAGTGTAGTGTAAGCGGTAGTGTAGTGTAAGGGGTAGTGTAGTGTAAGGGGTAGTGTAGTGTAAGAGGTAGTGTAGTGTAAGGGGTAGTGTAGTGTAAGGGGTAGTGTAGTGTAAGAGGTAGTGTAGTGTTAGATGTAGTGCAGTGTAAGAGGTAGTGTAGTGTAAGAGGTAGTGTAGTGTAAGAGGTAGTGTAGTGTTAGATGTAGTGTAGTGTAAGAGGTAGTGTAGTGTAAGGGGTAGTGTAGTGTAAGAGGTAGTGTAGTGTAAGAGGTAGTGTAGTGTAAGGGGTAGTGTAGTGTAAGAGGTAGTGTAGTGTAAGAGGTAGTGTAGTGTAAGAGGTAGTGTAGTGTTAGATGTAGTGTAGTGTAAGGGGTAGTGTAGTGTAAGAGGTAGTGTAGTGTAAGGGGTAGTGTAGTGTAAGGGGTAGTGTAGTGTAAGAGGTAGTGTAGTGTAAGGGGTAGTGTAGTGTAAGGGGTAGTGTAGTGTAAGAGGTAGTGTAGTGTAAGAGGTAGTGTAGTGTAAGGGGTAGTGTAGTGTAAGAGGTAGTGTAGTGTAAGAGGTAGTGTAGTGATAATTGGTTTTTTACCCTTCTATCTGGCAACAAAACTGACACCTTTTTTTACGAGGAGTCATGTTTGCATAGACCACAATACCTGCAGTAATAATGCAAACAAAAAACATAACTCTGATAATGTGCACTGTCCTTGAAGTTGATTGGTCCACACCCGAGACAGCTTTTCTTAGAGCCTAGTCTCACATGGTGTTGGAGCAGATGACGCCAAAAGGCGCACAACTCAAAGACAATGTACCATCAGAGTATGAGAGCTCGGGGTAAGCATTTACACCATTGGAGCCTCATTTGCCAGTAAAAAATATGATAATTGTTTTTTTACCCTTCTATCTGGCAACAAAACTGACACCTTTTGTACGAGGAGTCATGTATGCATAGTCCACAATACCTGCAGTCATAATGCAAACAAAAAACATAACTCTGAAAATGATATTCACTGTCCTTGAAGTTGATTGGTCCACACCCGAGACAGCTTTCCTTAGAGCCTAGTCTCACATGGTGTTGGACCAGATGACGCCAAAGGCGCACTCATCTGAAAAAATTAACCCGTAAAAACAAAGTTTTTCACTCTAAATCCTGTATATGCGTGGCGGCTAGAGTCCTCTCGTCCTCTCGCTTGAGATGGCTGCCACCTATGGGTCAGATGATTGTCTGCCAGCATTAAGCAATTGGTAATTAAATATTTATTTATTTTTCCCTAAATAGTGTAAAATTTAGCAAATTGTTTTTCACGAAAATTAATTGTCACGCACAACGAGTCTGTGTGGAAAACGTCAGCTCGATTGGATCACGGGAAGTGGGTTACAAACGACCGAAAGATTTGCACGGTCGTAAGCAAGCAAGCACGCAAGCACGCAAGCAAGCAAGCGAACTTAATATAAAGGAATAAAAAAAAAAGGCTTCAGTTTTGTTGCCAGATAGAAGGGTCAAAAACCAATTATCATATTTTTTACTGCCAAATGAGGTTCCAATGAGGTAGTGTAGTGTAAGAGTTCGCGTTTACCTGCCTTTCTCCCTACCTATCTTCTTGTATCTCCACCCGTCCACTTTGCCTCTCCACCATGCCTCTATTTTTAGCAGGCCCCGCGTCTATTTTTAGAAAGCTTTGCCCAGAATCCGATCGCGTGGGCGCGTTTGTGAACATAACTGGCCTCCACACCTGAGGCCGTGACGTCATGGAACATCACCTGCATTGGCTGAATTCCTTCACCCCTCCCTCCCTCCCCTCTCACGTGACTCACCTGACTCAGCGGGTGAGCTGTCACCTGCTGACCTGATAACCGGAACCCTGAACACAACCACCACCAATACCACAACCACCACCACTACTACCACTGCTACCACCACAACCACCGCTACCACTGCTACTACCACTGCTACTACCACAACCACCGCTACCACCACTACCACCGCAACCACCACCACTACCACCACAACCACCGCTACCACCACCACTACCACCGCTGTTAACGCTGCCACCACAACTAACGCTACGAACACCACCACCGCCACCACCGCCACAACAACCACCACTACCACCACTATTAACGCTTCCACCGCAACTACCACTACCACCACAACCACCACCGCCACAACAACCACCACTACCACCGCAACCACCACTACCACCACTACCACCACAACCACCGCAACCACCGCTACCACCACCACCGCCGCCACCACCGCCACAACAACCACCACTACCACCACTACCATCGCTACTACCACTAACACCACAACCACCGATATCACCACTGCCACCACCACTACCACCACAACTACCGATACACCACCACTACCAGCAGCACCACCATCACCACCATCACCACCACTACCATCACCCACCACCATCACCATCACCACCATCACCATCTCTACCACCACCATCACCACCACTACCATCACCACCATCACCACCACCATCACCACCATCACCATCTCTACCACCACCCACCACCATCACCATCACCACCATCACCATCTCTACCACCACCATCACCACCACTACCATCACTACCACCACCATCACCACTATCACCATCACCACTATCACCATCACCACCACCACTAACACCACCACCACCAAACTCACATCCTCCACTCTCTCACACACCCCAACATCACCTTGCCCCATTTCCCCCCCCTCCCCCCTCCCCTTATCTCTCTCCCTCCCCCCTCTCTCTTACCTCTCTCTCACCTCTCCCCCCCTCTCCCTATCTCCCCCCCTCTCTTACCTCTCACCCCCCTCCCTATCTCCCCCCCCCTCTTTAACATCTCTCTGCTTATCTCTCCCCCCTCTCCCTATCTCCCATCTCCCCCCCCCCACCTCTCACACGAGTTGCCGTCTCTCGGAGCGGTTCGCTGGCTCCAGGAGTGTTGAGAGCTCTGTGGGTTGTGGCACTGTGGGTTGTGGCTCTGTGGGTTGTGGCACTGTTGGTTGTGGCTCTGTGGGTTGTGGCTCTGTTGGTTGTGGCTCTGTGGGTTGTGGCACTGTGGGTTGTGGCTCTGTGGGTTGTGGCACTGTTGGTTGTGGCTCTGTGGGTTGTGGCTCTGTTGGTTGTGGCTCTGTGGGTTGTGGCACTGTGGGTTGTGGCTCTGTGGGTTGTGGCACTGTTGGTTGTGGCTCTGTGGGTTGTGGCTCTGTTGGTTGTGGCTCTGTGGGTTGTGGCTCTGTGGGTTGTGGCACTGTGGGTTGTGGCACTGTGGGTTGTGGCTCTGTTGGTTGTGGCTCTGTGGGTTGTGGCTCTGTGGGTTGTGGCTCTGTTGGTTGTGGCTCTGTGGGTTGTGGCTCTGTTGGTTGTGGCTCTGTGGGTTGTGGCTCTGTGGGTTGTGGCTCTGTTGGTTGTGGCTCTGTGGGTTGTGGCACTGTTGGTTGTGGCTCTGTGGGTTGTGGCACTGTTGGTTGTGGCTCTGTGGGTTGTGGCTCTGTTGGTTGTGGCACTGTTGGTTGTGGCTCTGTGGGTTGTGGCACTGTTGGTTGTGGCTCTGTGGGTTGTGGCACTGTTGGTTGTGGCTCTGTGGGTTGTGGCTCTGTGGGTTGTGGCTCTGTTGGTTGTGACTCTGTAGGTTGTGGCTCTGTGGGTTGTGGCACTGTTGGTTGTGGCTCTGTGGGTTGTGGCTCTGTTGGTTGTGGCTCTGTGGGTTGTGGCTCTGTGGGTTGTGGCTCTGTTGGTTGTGACTCTGTTGGTTGTGGCTCTGTGGGTTGTGGCTCTGTTGGTTGTGGCTCTGTGGGTTGTGGCTCTGTTGGTTGTGGCTCTGTGGGTTGTGGCTCTGTGGGTTGTGGCTCTGTTGGTTGTGACTCTGTTGGTTGTGGCTCTGTGGGTAGTGGCTCTGTTGGTTGTGGCTCTGTTGGTTGTGGCTCTGTGGGTTGTGGCACTGTTGGTTGTGACTCTGTGGGTTGTGGCTCTGTGGGTTGTGGCACTGTTGGTTGTGACTCTGTAGGTTGTGGCTCTGTGGGTTGTGGCACTGTTGGTTGTGGCTCTGTGGGTTGTGGCTCTGTTGGTTGTGGCTCTGTGGGTTGTGGCTCTGTGGGTTGTGGCTCTGTTGGTTGTGGCTCTGTGGGTTGTGGCTCTGTGGGTTGTGGCACTGTTGGTTGTGGCTCTGTGGGTTGTGGCACTGTTGGTTGTGGCTCTGTGGGTTGTGGCTCTGTTGGTTGTGGCTCTGTGGGTAGTGGCTCTGTTGGTTGTGGCTCTGTGGGTTGTGGCTCTGTGGGTTGTGGCTCTGTTGGTTGTGGCTCTGTTGGTTGTGGCCGTGGCTCTGCGGGTTGTGGCCCTGCGGGTTGTGGCTCTGTGGGTTGTGGCCGTGGTCTCTGTGCTGCAGGGTTCAGGCTCAGGGGCCACGCTGCGGAGTTCCATGGGGCTCAGGGAGTTCACGTGCGGGGGGGGTGAAGGGGCTTGGCGCGTTGTGGGTCACGGGGCTTCGCGTTGGGGGTTGGATTCCGTCGCTCCGTCTCCCCTTTGGGTGACCGCTCGGCTTGCCGCTCTGTGATGAGTCTCGACCATCGTTGGATCATCGTCACCATCATCATCATCGTCATCATTATGGTCATCATCATCGTCATCATCATCATCGTCATCATCGTCATCATCGTCATCGTCATCATCATCATCATCGTCATCATCATCATCGTCATCATCGCCATCATCACCATCATCGTCGTCATCATCATCATGGTCATCGTCATCATCATGGTCATCATCATCGTCATCATCATCATGGTCATCATCTTGGTCATCGTCATCATCATGGTAATCGTCATCATCATCATCATCATGGTCATCATCATGGTAATCGTCATCATCATCATGGTCATCATCATCGTCATCATCATCATGGTCATCATCTTGGTCATCGTCATCATCATGGTAATCGTCATCATCATCATCATGCTCATCGTCGTCATCATCATGGTAATCGCCATCATCATCACCATCATCATCGCCATCGTCATCATCGTCACTTTCTGGCCGTGACGACGTCCTGCCCAGGTCCCACTCCTCTCAGCGCTGTGGATGGTGGTGACGCCTCTACCCCACGTGCTCCTCAGTGCAATCACCACCAACACCACCATGGTATATCTACTGCTGGGTGATCAATGTGATGGTGGTGACGCCTCTACCCCACGTGCTCCTCAGTGCAATCACCATCACCATGGTATATCCACTACTGGGTGATCAATGTGATGGTGGTGACGTCTCTACCCCACGTGCTCCTCAGTGCAATCACCATCACCATGGTATATCCACTACTGGGTGATCAATGTGGTGGTGGTGATGTCTCTACCCCACTTGATCCTCAGTGTAATCACCACCACCATGGTATATCCACTACTGGGTGATCAATGTGGTGGTGGTGATGTCTCTACCCCACTTGATCCTCAGTGTAATCACCACCACCATGGTATATCCACTACTGGGTGATCAATGTGATGTTGGTGACGTCTCTACCCCACGTGTTCCTCAGTGTAATCACCATCACCATGGTATATCCACTACTGGGTGATCAATGTGGTGTTGGTGATGTATCTACCCCACGTGTTCCTCAGTGTAATCACCATCACCATGGTCTATCCACTGCTGGGTGATCAATGTGGTGTTGGTGATGTCTCTACCCCACGTGTTCCTCAGTGTAATCACTACCACCATGGTATATCCACTGCTGGATGGAGATCAATAATTCCTGAATGCAACGTGCTCATCTTCCTATATCTCTCTCAAACGAGTACCTGGTGCGGTGTGTAATCGCCGCCGTTAGGGAGACAAAGGCGGCCGGGTCATGGCGACGGCCACCCACCCACTCGCGTGACCGCTTCTGCCCTTCACATGTGCTCGCTCACGAGTCTGGTAAATGGTCCCGTGACAGAATGTCGCCTGTCAGAGTTTGTGGGTGTGTATGTGGACCTTGAACGCCACGGTGGCCAGGAGATGTTAACTACCTCGCCTGGTGTGCAGGAAGTCGTGGGTTCGATCCAGACCCTGACGATGCCTGCTGCTGTATATTTGGAGTTTGCGTGTCTCGCTCATCATCATCATCACGGTGGCTAGGAGATGTTAACTACCTCGCCTGGTGTGCAGGAGGTCGTGGGTTCGATCCCGACCCTGACGATGCCTGCTGCTGTATATTTGGAGTTTGCGTGTCTCGCTCATCATCATCATCACGGTGGCTAGGAGATTTTAACTACCTCGCCTGGTGTACAGGAGGTGGTGGGTTCGATCCCGACCCTGAAGACGCCTGCTGCTGTATATTTGTAGTTTGCGTGTCTCTCTCTCTCATCATCACGGTGGCTAGATGTTAACTACCTCGCCTGGTATGGAGGAGGGCGTGGGCTCTATCCAGACCTTGACGACGCCTGCTGCTGTGTATTTGGAGTTCACGTGTCTCTCTCTCTCTGTGCAGTCCACTGCATGAACGCCGCGTCCACCATCTGGTGGCCGGGCCCGGTAACGTTAACACCCGCCACCACCCGACACAGCCGAATAGTGAGGGTTGTCACGTAAAACAGCACGTGGCCAATTCGTCACTAGTACAGCACTAGTGTGTAGTGAATAGTAGTGTAGTGTATAGTAGTGTAGTGTATTGTAGTGTATAGTAGTGTGTAGTATATAGTAGTGTATAGTGCAGTATATAAGTGTAGTGTATAGTAGTGTAGTGTGTCGTGTATAGTAATGTAGTGTATAGTAGTGTATAGTGTATAGTAGTGTATAGTGTAGTGTATAGTAGTGTATAGTGTACAGTGGAGTGTATAGTAGTGTAGTCTATAGTGTAGTATATAGTAGTATAGTGTAGTGTATAGTGTAATGTATAGTAGTGTATAGTGTATAGTAGTGTAGTGTATAGTGTAGTGTATAGTGTAGTATACTAGTACACCACACCGGTTGTATGTTGGAGAGCCAAGCCACAACATTTACAATTTGAGTTCGACGTTTCACCGGTAATTACAACCAGCTTCATCAGGCGACAGCCAGACTTGGGCTATTTGACCCAACCGGCAATGGATACCCATCGTCACGGACACGCATTCACTCATCCCACCACCACCACCACCACTCTTGCTGAAGGAGCGAAACAGCAGGATTACTCCACAAGTCTCGCTACCGTGTGTACTGTGTGTGTACTGCGTGTGTACGGTGTGTGTACTGTGTATACTGCGTGTGTACTGTGTGTATACTGCGTGTGTACTGTGTACTGCGTGTGTACTGTGTGTATACTGCGTGTGTACGGTGTGTGTACTGTGTACTGCGTGTGCACTGCGTGTACTGTACTATGTACTGCGTGTGTACTGTGTTGTTCTACGTACTGCGTGTGTACTTTGTACTGTGTGTACTGCGTGTGTACTACGTACTGCGTGAGTAGTGTGTACTGCGTGTATACTGTGTACTGTTTGTATACTGTGTACTGTTTGTGTGTACTGTGTGTACTGCGTGTAGTGTGTACTGCGTGTATTGTGTGTACTGCGTGTGTACTGTGTACTGTTTGTGTGTACTGTGTGTAGTGTGTACTGCGTATGTAGTGTGTACTGCGTGTACTGCGTGTGTATCACGTGTACCGAGTGTGCAACTCGGCAGGCAGCTGTCTGGGTCACACACACGCACGGGGTTACACACACGCACACACACCGCCGCATGAACGCCAGCCCGAGTTTATTAGAAGCCCAAGTTACAAAAGAACTCTGACGCTCAATCCTCAACTCGTTCAAGTGGGGGGCGGGGGGGGGGGCAGCGGGGGGGGGGGAGGGCCAGTAGAGGGGGGGCAAACGTGCACGCGACGTGAACTTTAGGGTCTGTACGTGGGCGCGCGCACAGACACGAGTGCGCGTGTGCGTACTGTTGTCGTGTGCGTGCGCATTGTTGACGTGCGTGTGTTGTGTGGGGAGCGGTGGCACAGCGGTGAGCGCGATCGCGCTACGGATCCGAGCTTCGGTTCCCGCTCACGGACGACGCCGGTGACGATTATCCGAACTGGTCCTGGGCCTCCCCTAGGTCGACTCAATCGAGTACCTGGTGCGGTGCGTAGTGGTAAGCGTCGCCACTGGGGAGACAAAGGCGGCCGGGCGTGGTGCTGGCCACCCACCCCCTCGTGTGCCGTGCCGGCCTTCATAGAGGCGCTCGCTGGTACTATTTGCGCCAACATTCTCTGAAGCCGATACGGGGCATCTTTGTCTTTGTTATCTGTGTGTCTATGCGTGTACGTGTGTGCATTGTCTGGGTCTAAAAATGTCCTGTGTGTGTTGTCTGTCTGCGTGTGCATTTGTGCGAGTATTTGTGCGAGTATGTGTGCATCTTTGTTTGTGTGTCTGCGTCTGCGTTTGCGTCTGTGTGCGTGTCTGTGTGCGTGTCTGTGTGCGTGTCTACGTGTACGCGTCTGTGTGTGTGTACGTGTGCGCGTCTACGTGTGTACGTGTGTGCGTGTGTGTAAGTGTGTAAGTGTGTACGTGTGCACGTGTACGTGTGCACGTCTGCGCGTGTGCGCGTGCGTGCGTCTGTGTGTGTGTACGTGTGCGCGTCTGCGTGTGTGTACGTGTGTACGTGTGTGTGTACGTGTGTACGTGTGCGCGTCTGCGTACGTGTGTGCGTGTGTGTGTGTACGTGTGTGCGTGTGTGTACGTGTGTGCGTGAGCGCGTCCGTCATTCTAAGTCGAGGACTTCTTCTGCTTCTTCTTCTCCGCTTCTTCCTCCTTCTCCTTCTCGATCTCGCTCACGTACACCTCGATCTCCTCCGCCTCCAGAATCTGCAACGGGGCAAGGCGGCATCGTCAGCGGCACCGTCATCATCAAGTCCAGCATGCACACCGTGTTTCCCTCCTAGGCTCTGAGAATCGGAAGAGAAACTAAAATACAATAACTTCACCGGTACACGTCTTCAGGTTGGCAGACGCACCGAGGCTCCCGCAAGGTCAACCAGGAGGGAGTGTGGCACGGTTTGGGAGGGAGCGTGGCACGGTTTGGGAGGGAGCGTGGCACGGTTTGGGAGTGTGGCATGGTTTGGGAGGGAGTGTGGCACGGTTTGGGAGAGAGTGTGGCACGGTTTGGGAGTGTGGCACGGTTTGGGAGGGAGTGTGGCACGGTCTGGGAGAGAGTGTGGCACGGTTTGGGAGTGTGGCACAGTTTGGGAGGGAGCGTGGCACGGTTTGGGAGGGAGTGTGGCACGGTCTGGGAGAGAGTGTGGCACGATTTGGGAGTGTGGCACGGTTTGGGAGGGAGCGTGGCACGGTCTGGGAGAGAGTGTGGCACGGTTTGGTAGTGTGGAACGGTTTGGGAGGGAGCGTGGCACGGTTTGGTAGTGTGGAACGGTTTGGGAGGGAGTGTGGCACGGTCTGGGAGAGAGTGTGGCACGGTTTGGGAGTGTGGCACGGTTTGGGAGGGAGTGTGGCACGGTCTGGGAGAGAGTGTGGCACGGTTTGGGAGTGTGGCACAGTTTGGGAGGGAGCGTGGCACGGTTTGGGAGTGTGGCACGGTTTGGGAGTGTGGCACGGTTTGGGAGGGAGCGTGGCACGGTTTGGGAGGGAGCGTGGCACGGTTTGGGAGTGTGGCACGGTTTGGGATGGAGTGTGGCATTCAGACGCTGTCTTCCTGATAGACCTGTTCTTCACCTGAGGACGGGCTGCTTGCATTGTAGCCGAAACGTCGTGAAAATTATTTTATGTTTAATTTTTATTATTATTATATTATTTCCCTTCTACGAAACCAAGAAGAAGGGTTGAATATTCGCGGATTTAAGGGTTAACCCACCACCAACCACTCCTGCACTGATGACCAACCACAACCCCACTCACCACCACCCCACCCACCACCCCACCCACCACCGCCACCCACCACCGCCCATCCACCACCACCCCACCCACCACCGCCCATCCACCACCACCCCACCACCCCACCCACCACCCCCACCCACCACCCCACCCACCACCCCACCCACCACCACCCACCCCACCACCTCACCACCACCCCCCACCACCCCCCACCACCCCCACCCACCACCCACCACCCCCACCCACCACCCCCACCCACCACCCCCACCCACCACCCCCACCCACCACCCCCACCCACCACCACCCCACCCACCACCCCACCCACCACCCCACCCACCACCACCCCACCCACCACCACCGAGGTTATCATGAGTTTACTGTACTGGAACACAATGTCCAGCTCCTGTACCTTGAGATGCTTGTTTCTCTGCATGACAGCGAGCTCGATGTTCTTACCCCCAGACTGCACCACCTGAGACGCACAATCCCACACATCGTCATCACAACAACCCCACATCATCATCACAACCCCACACATCGTCATTATCACAACAATCCCACATCATCATCACAACAACCCCACATCATCATCATCACAACTCCACAGCTCACCATCATCGTCATCACAACAATCCCACATCATCATCACAACAACCCCACACCTCGTATCCCCCGCCCAGGCATCCTCACGTCTCCCCTGCGTGTCCCCGCAAGTGTTCCTGTGCCCTCTGCGTGTCCCGGTGTCTCCCCGTGTGTCACATCTCTCCGCGTCTCCCCCGGTGTGTCTCTGTGTGTCCCCGCATGCCCCCGTATCCCACCCCGTGTCCCCACGTGTCCCACGTGTCCCCTTCGTGCCCCCCTCCCCGTGTGTCCTCCCCGTGTCCTCCCCGTGTCCTCCGGCACCTCCGATTAGCACGGTTGGCTACGTACGTCCCGTGCCCCCCCCGCCCCCCCCCCCCCCCCCCCCGTGTCTCCCCGTGCGTCCCCCGTGCCTCCAGCAGGGCGCGGATGGCGAGCTTGATGGCCTGTGCGTCCGTAGCGATCGCCTCCTCCGTGTAGTTCTTTTCCAGGAACTCGCGCACTGTCTTGGCGCTGCGGCCGATGGCGTTCGCCTGCAAGCGGTGGTGGGGGGGGATGGACAACGCCGGCGGTTTTGACCTCGTTGCAAATCGTCGGCGTCACGTACACCGTGCCGAGCACATTGCCCCCCCCCCCTCCCTCCCCCCGTGCGATGGGGTGGTCGCGCTGACGTACGCGCAAAGGCACGATGGGAGCCGTGCTGCTGTACGTGTGTGTGTGGTGCGCCGTGGTGGCTAGGAGATGTTAACTACCTCGCCTGATATGCAGGAGGTCGTGGGTTCGATCCCGACCCTGACGCCTGCTGCTGTATATTTACAGTTTGCTGTCTCTCTCATCATCATCATCATCACGGTGGCTAGGAGATGTTAACTCCCTCCCTTGTTGTGGAGCAGGTCGTGGGTTCGATCCCGATCCTGACGACGCCTGCTGCTGTATATTTGGAGTTTCCATATCTCTCTCTCTCCCCGTGGTCGCGTGGATTTCTCTCCGGGTCTTCCAGTTTTTCCCGCCACATTTTGAATCAACGTCGCCACGCGTTGAGGATATTTGTCTGCCGTAAATTTCCACGCGACAAGCCACTTCCTTGAGCTCTCATTTCTGAGAGCCAGGTCGCTTCCGAAAAATACCTATACAGCCGAGTGGGCCTTACATGGTAAAATTATAAAAAAGTTAATTAAGTAGCTAGTTAGTGGCACGCTGCACTCCACAACCCGGCCAACCCACAGTGATGAATATCTGAAGCGATCCGTGGCTTCGTCTGGGTCGACTCGGCATCACGCGAGTATCTGGAGCGGCGGTGTACTAACATCGGCACTGGGGAAGAGACAAAGGCGGCGGGGCGTGGTGCTGGCCACCCACAGCTTTCACGTGCCGTGCCGGCCTTTACAGGTGCTCGTCAAGAGCACTTGCCCCAACAGCCTGTTAGGAGCTACATGGGGGACTTTGATCTTGGTCATATACATGCGTGCGGTAGTGTAGTAGTTAGCGGTAGTGTAGCGGTTAGCGCGCTGCTGTGTGACGAAACCCGACGACCTGCATTCGATTCCCGCTCACGGCCAACACCATTAACGATGCTCAGAACCAGTCCTGTGCCTCCACTAGGTCGACTCGGCCTTAAGCGAGTACCTAGCGCTGTGTGCAGTAAACATCGCTACTGGGCGAGAGACAAAGGCGGCCGGGCGTGGTGCTGGCCACCCACCCCCTCGTGTGCCGTTCCGGCCTTCAACAAAAGTGCTCGCCAACAGCACTTGCCCCGACAGCCTGTTAAGGCTATACGAAGCATCTTTGTCATTGGGACCAGATTTTTAAAACCTTAATTGTCTTTGTGCGTGACCTCCTGCGTCAGCGAGCGAGCCTTCCGGCAACCGCTTAGCGCGGTGCCCTCAAGGTGCACCTGGCGTGGCGTGGCCTGGCGTTGTCGCCGAGTGTCGGTATCGGTGTGCGCACGAGACCTTCCACGCGTGATAGGTGCCGGACGGGTCGGTCTGGTAGAGTCGGGGAGTCCCGTCTTGATCGAACCCCACGAGCAGAGACGAGATACCAAACGGACGACGCCCATTGCTTTGTGTGTAGCGCTGGGGGGGGGGGGGGGGGACATTGACAGGGGAGGAGGAGGGGTGTTGGGGAGGGGGGCGGCATCGACGGTTTATTTCGAGGAACGTGGGTGTTCCACCAGGTCACGTGTGGTGGGGTAAAGAGTGGGTGGTGAGATGTTAACTACCTTATTTTATACTAATAGGGGTTTTTCCCCTTTTTTCTGGCAACAAAAACTGACACCTTTTGCAAGGAATCATGCTTACATTAAGCACAATACTTGCATCTTCTTGGTTCTTTCGGTAAAGTCACGTAGAAGGGAAATAATAAAATAATGAAAATAAAACATAATAAAATAATTCTCACGACGTTTCGGCCACAACGCAAGCAGCCGTCCTCAGGTGAAGAACAGGTCTGTCTCCCCGACAGACCTGTTCTTCACCTGAGGACGAAAGATTTGCACGGTCGTAAGCGCGCAAGCAAGCCAGTAAGCGAACTTAATATAAAGGATTTAAAAAGAGACCACATAGCTCAGTGGGCCTTACCTGCTAAAATCCAGAACAGCTTTTCGTTTCTAGTTTTTAACAGGCCAAATATCCTGGAGCGGGTCTCACGGAGGGTCCATCGAGCCCGGGCGCAAAGCGGAACATCGCATTCTACCTGCTTGAGGCCCGCGATGTAGCGCGTGATGTACTCCACCGTGACGGGGTCCTCCACCGTCAGCTTGTGGCTCTGGCACTCGACGCGCGCACGGTTGATCACGATCCGCGCATCTGCCGTCAACCCTGTGGCACGGACGCACGGACAGACCAAGAACGAGTTCCATGCGTTGACGCTTTCAGCCTTAAGTTTTCCTGTCCCGTGCGTACTTGCACGGCATCAGTCTGCCTTCCGATGACGTACGCGTACGTCATGTGTATTTGGAGCTTGCGTGGTCTGTCTTCCCGTGGCCCTTTGGATTTTTCTCTGGGTTCTCCGGTATTTCCCTCCATATTTATAAATGTGCGTTTAAGAGTATTTGACTGCTATATATGTCCACGTGCGTGTGCGTCATCGGAATGGAGACCGGAAGAAAAAAAATTAAGTGCAATAACTTTGATAATTGTTTTTTTACCCTTCTATCTGGCAACAAAACTGACACCTTTTTTACAAGGAGTCATGTTTGCATAGACCACAATACCTGCAGCCGTAATGCAAACAAAAAACATATCTCTGATAATGTATGCACTGTCCTTGAAGTTGATTGGTCCACACCCGAGACAGCTTTCCTTAGAGCCTAGTCTCACATGGGTTGGACCAGATGACGCCAAAAGGAGCAGGTATTGTGGTCTATGCAAACATGACTCCTTGTAAAAAAGGTGTCAGTTTTGTTGCCAGATAGAAGGGTATCAGTCAAGCCTGGGATCGAACCCACAACCTCCTGTATACCAGGCGAGGTAGTTAACATTGCACTCCACGACTGCCACCACCCTCACTATGAGACCGCTTTCTTTAGAGCCTAGTCCCCATTGGTGTTGGACAGTTTAAAAGGGTAAAAACCTACTTCTATACTGCCCCCACCCTCTCCCGGGCCCCAACATTTTCCACCTCCACTAGAGCAACCGCTGCCACCTGCCTGCCCCCCACCACCGCCCCCACCCTCCTCCGACATCTCCCTCTGCCCCCCACCCCCCTCTGACATGTCCCTCTGCCCCCCCTCCGCACCGGCGAAGGCCATGCAGACGTGGTCATCGAGAGCACAGATCTTGCGGACTGTCCTCTCCTCCTGGAGCTTGGCCACAGACTTCTTCTCAACGGCCAGCACCACGATGTCCAGCCCTCGGATGCCCACCTAGGGTTGGGACAGCCGGAGGGAGCACAGGTAGGAAACGCAGGTGAACGGGTTATCACGGGCATTGGCCACACCGCACACACCCCAGCCACCAACCCACCCACCAGAGGTCGCAACCGGGTACCCGATACCCGTACCCTACCCGATACCTGGCTACCAGTACCCGGCCGGGTACGGGTACCCGTTTGCGACCCTGGTGCTGCCGGGTACGGGTAGGCCGTGAGTCACTGGTGAGTCACCGTTTGTCACTCATTTCGGGTAGGGTACGGGTAGGGAACGGGTACCCATACCCGGCCGGGTACGGGTACGGGTACCCGTTTGTTACCCTAGTGCGGCCGGGTACGGGTAAGGAATCAAAACCCGTTTGCGACCTCTGCCACCCACCCACCCAGTGCTCGCGAGTAGAAATGCCCCAACTGTCTGTTAATGGTTACGAAGCTGATACTGTATTTGCCTTTGTATTCGAGTGTGCGTGTGTTTGGAGCGGTGGTGTAGCGGTTAGCGCTACGAACCCGGGGACCCGAGTTCGATTCACGCCCACGGTCACCACCAGTGATGATGGGTCTCACCTAGGTCTACTCAGTCTCAAATGAGTACCTGGTGCGGTGTGTAGTAAACATCGCCACTGGGGAGACAAAGGCGGTCAGGCGTGGTGCTGGCCACCCACCCCTCTCGTGTTCTGTGTCGGCCATCATAGGTGCTGCTCGCTAACAACACTTGCCTCAACAGTCTATTATGTCTACGAGGGAATCTTTGTTAATTTAAGGAGGTTTTGTGATCATGAGATAAAATCTAGAAACGAGTGAAATAATGTAAGTTTTGCGGGGGGGGGGGGGGGGGGGGAATGACCATACTTCACCGCGCTGGTCAATGCTGCTTGTTTGAATGCGGGGAGCTATTGAGGACGCGCGAGCATAGAAGTACTGTACAACAATCTGTACTGCCTACAAGGTAGGCACACGGCGGCCTATAGCACCTGTTGTGTGCACAACACTTCCCCATTCAGACACGATCCAAGCTCCCCCCTTCTAAGCCGCCCCGATATTTTAATTGACAATTCAGTGGCAATATTAATGACACGGTCTCGATGCGAGTTAATGTGTGTCTAGGCGAATCCATGGGTATCTAAATGAGTATGCGAGTCTATGGGTATCTAAATGAGTCTCTGTAAGAGTCTATGGTATGGTCTCCATACGAGTCTATGGGTAACTCGGCGATTCTATAGTTCTCTAAATGAGTCTCTATGCGAGTCCATGGGTCTCTAAGCAAATCTGTACGTCAGTCTATGGTATAGTCTCCATACGAGTCTATGGGTCGCTATGCGAATCTATGGGTATCTAAAATGAGTCTCTATGCAAGTCTGTGGCATAGCCTCTATATGCGAGCCTATGGGTATCTATGTGAGTCTACGGGTCTCTAAAGGTGTATTGAAAAGTTTGTATTCTGCTACTTATACTCCTGACTCATGCTGCCAACCATGCCTGCAAAGTTTGGTCGTACGTGTTATGTATATCGTTTATTGTTGAATTTGAATCACAGTTCCTATGATCGCTGTTACATTGTTTTCATAGCTTTATATTGGTGATTTTGAAAACGTTTTGGTTTAGCCGTGTTTGTTTGTTGTAGTACAGAGTTAGCCTGATAACTTTAATCTACATTGTCTTATGGATGTTATTGTTTGACTTGCATCCCACTGGGATATTAGCACACAGCGTTGAAACTCTGTTTTTTTTCTAGAAGACTTTTGCTGTTTTTTCCTGGATTTTTATGTTGCGTGTAGTCGCTTTAAGATGTTTCTTGTTCATCTTTTTCTTTTGTTGCGGTTGCACCCGAGTCAAGAGCCGCATGGCTCACAGGGTTATACCTAAAACTATGCGAAACTATGGGTATCTAAATCAGTATCTATGCGAGTCTATGATTTAGTCTCCATACGAGTCTATGGGTCGCTATACGAATCAATGGGTATCTAAATGAGTCTCTATGCGAGTCTATGGTAAAGTCACTCTATGCGAGTCTATGGATGTTTATGGATCCCTGTGTAAGTCCACAGGACTGCAAGTATAAAAACAATAACTATAATAACTATAATAACGTAAAGCCCTCTTGCCAAATCCACTGCTGAATGACCACCCCCGTGTGTCCCCGTGTCTTGGGCCGCATGGCCCGCAAGTTGAATGGGCAGAATTTAATATTTCGCGAGTGCGCCGTCGTTATATCTTACAAAAGGCAGAGTGAGCCGCGCGTTAACTTTCATCGGCACGAGGAAAGCAAATTTTTACTTTAAAAACATTTATCATTGTTAAGCGTTCGGCCACATGACAATGCAAAAAAAAAACCGGGACCGACCCTCGCCTAGAAGCCGCGCCCGGCCGCTCAACGGCCACCGACGGCGCGGGTTCTAGGCAAGGCCGTGGGCTTCGAGTAGGCCCGAGCATAGGCCGCAAACGTCCACTCCGTCTGAATGAATTAACAAAACTTTAAGGAACCACACAAACATCTCGGTTATCGTTCTAATGGAAGAGCAAGAGGGATACGTACCGCCGTGGAGCCCTTCTTCACGGCTTCCTGGGCGTATTCCACCTGGAAGAGGTGGCCGTCGGGCGAGAAGACGGTGATGGCGCGGTCGTATCGGGCCGTCATGGCTGGGCTTGTTGGCTTTGTGGTGGTTGGTGGTGGTTGTTGGTGGTGGTTGTTGGTGGTGGTTGGTGTTGGTGGTTGGTGTTGTTGGTGGCGGTTGGTGTTGTTGGTGGTGGTAGTTGGTGTTGTTGGTGGTGGTGGTTGCTGGTGGTGGTGGTGGCGGTTGGTGTTGTTGGTGGTGGTTGTTGTTGTTGTTGGTGGTGGCGGTTGTTGTTGGTTGTGGCGGTTGGTGGTGGCGGTTGACGGTTGTTGTGGTTGTTGGTGGTGGCAGATTGAACTCTTTGCAGCCGGATAATCGCGCAGTCAAAACCAGCGGCCGCTCCAAGTGTAGTGAGTCCCTGCAAGAAGAGAACGAGGACCACGACGTTGCCCACGCGGAGTGGCCGCCAGGCGGTGCCGCTGTGGGGAATTGCTGAGTGGGTGGCGCGGAAGGTTCTTGTATCGCCGATGTGCGGCAGTAATAGGGCACAGGCCACAACAACAACAATAACAACAATAAACACAATAGGGGCATTAATTCTAGATATGAAGCTTTCGTGACTGCAGGGATTCAAACTCTTTGTTTTTTTTCGGTAAAGTCACGTAGGAAAAAAAATGAAATTAAATAATGCCTCCCAAACGTGATTTAATTGAATTGTTTTCATTTATTTTACTTTTTTACCTACGTGACTTTATCGAAAAAAACAAAGAGTACAATAGGGGCAGTTCCGTATGATCCTTGCAGCACAAGTAGCTGCATAAGTAGTAGCTTCATAAGTAGTAGCTGCATAAGTAGTAGCTTCATAAGTAGTAGCTGCATAAGTAGTAGCTGCATAAGTAGTAGCTGCATATGTAGTAGCTGCATAAGTAGTAGCTGCACGTGTAGCAGCGAATACACGTGCAGCGAATACACGTGCAGCTACGACGCTTATGTAGCAGCTGCTACACGTGTAGTAGCTATAAATGTAGCTACGGGCCCCGCACTTTCAAGGGCCCCCCGCGCTAAATGCTTGCGAGCTATCAAATCCGGTTCAGCGATTCTGCACTTGCTCTATTACTATAGTACTACACCGCCTTCGAGTTTTACGAACGACTGGGTGTTTGAGGATAGACTCACACAGAGACCCATAGGCTCACTCAAACAGAGACCCATAGACTCTCACAGAGACCCATAGACTCACACAGAGACCCATAGACTCACTCAAACAGAGACCCATAGACTCACACAGAGACCCATATACTCACTCACACAGAGACCCATAGGCTCACTCAAACAGAGACCCATAGACTCATCACACAGAGACCCATAGACTCACTCACACAGAGACCCATAGACTCATCACACAGAGATCCATAGACTCACTCACACAGAGACTCATAGACTCACTCACACAGAGACCCATAGACTCATCACACAGAGACCCATATACTCACACAGAGACTCATATACTCACGCACACAGAGACCCATAGACTCACTCACACAGAGACCCACAGACTCATCACACAGAGACCCATAGACTCATCACACAGAGACCCATAAACTCATCGCACAGAGACCAATAGACTCATCACACAGAGACCCATAGACTCACTCACACAAAAAACCCATAGATTCACTCACACAGAGACCCATAGACTTACACAGAGACCCATAGACTCATCACACAGAGACCCATAGACTCACTCACACAGAGACCCATATATTCACTCACACAGAGACCCATAGACTTACACAGAGACCTATAGACTCATCACACAGAGACCCATACACTCCGTCACACAGAGACCCATAGACTCACTCACACAGAGACCCATACATTCACTCACACAGAGATTCATAGATTCACTCACACAGAGATTCATAGACTCACACAGAGACCCATAGACTCATTCACACAGAGACCCATAGACTCACTCACACAAAGACCCATAGACTCACACAGAGACGCATAGACTCACCACACATAGACCCACAGACTCACTCACAAAGAGACCCACAGACTCATCACACAGAGATCCATACACTCACTCACACAGAGACTCATAGACTCACTCACACAGAGACCCATAGACTCACTCACACAAAGACCCATAGACTAACTCAGAGACCCATAGACTCACCACACAGAGACCCACAGACTCACTCACACAGAGACCCACAGACTCACCACACAGAGACCCACAGACTCACTCACACAGAGACCCACAGACTCATCACACAGAGATCCATACACTCACTCACACAGAGACTCATAGACTCACTCACACAGAGACCCATAGACTCACTCACACAAAGACCCATAGACTCACACAGAGACCCATAGACTCACCACACAGAGACCCACAGACTCACTCACACAGAGACCCACAGACTCATCACACAGAGATCCATACACTCACTCACACAGAGACTCATAGACTCACTCACACAGAGACCCATAGACTCACTCACACAGAGACCCATAGACTCACTCACACAGAGACCCATAGACTCACTCACACAGAGATCCATACACTCACTCACACAGAGACTCATAGACTCACTCACACAGAGACCCATAGATTAACTCACACAGAGACCCATTGAGACTCACACAGAAGTTGGAATCGATAATCGATTCCGGAGCCCACTTTTCCTCAAGCGAATCGGTAATCGATTCTCGCCCTACGACTTTCCCACCCATCCGTCGCAAGCCGTTCCCGGTTGGCACGTGAAGGTGATGTGATGGTGAAGATGATGATTATCATTATCAGTCGTTGTGGTTGTTCATTATCGAAGCGATTTAGATCAATTATTCTCGCGCGAGTCGAGGCGTGATGTGCACGTGGGAGTTGTGCGTTCGCTGTGACTTTGTTGTTATGCTGAAGGCCACCGTGCACACGTGTGTTGGGGCCTACAAGCGGAATTGGGTCCTCCTCCGCTAGAGGCCGCTCGGGCTCTCGCAGTGGTGCTTGGTCTACTCTTCCACCTCGCAGGGACAAACAGCGTCCTTGTGAGTGGGTGGGTGAGTGAGTGGGTGAGTGGGTGGGTTGGTGGGTGGGTGAGTGGTTGAGTGGGTGGGTGGGTGAGTGAGTGGGTGGTTGAGTGAGTGGTTGGGTGAGTGGGTGAGTGGTTGCGTGAGTGGATAAGTGAGTGGGTGAGTGGTTGGGTGAGTGAGTGGGGGAGTGGATAAGTGAGTGGGTGGGTGGGTGAGTGGGTGGGTGAGTGAGTGAGTGGGTGAGTGAGTGGGTGAGTGAGTGGGTGAGTGAGTGGGTGAGTGAGTGGGTGAGTGAGTGGGTGAGTGAGTGGGTGAGTGAGTGGGTGAGTGAGTGGGTGAGTGAGTGGGTGAGTGAGTGGGTGGGTGAGTGAGTGGGTGGGTGAGTGAGTGGGTGGGTGGGTGAGTGGGTGAGTGGGTGGGTGAGTGAGTGGGTGGGTGGGTGAGTGGGTGGGTGGGTGAGTGGGTGGGTGAGTGGGTGAGTGAGTGGGTGAGTGAGTGGGTGAGTGAGTGGGTGAGTGAGTGGGTGAGTGAGTGGGTGAGTGAGTGGGTGAGTGAGTGAGTGGGTGAGTGAGTGGGTGAGTGAGTGGGTGAGTGAGTGGGTGAGTGAGTGGGTGAGTGAGTGGGTGAGTGAGTGGGTGAGTGAGTGGGTGAGTGAGTGGGTGAGTGAGTGGGTGACTGCTGTATATTTGGAGTTTGCGTGTCTCTCTCTCATCATCATCATCACGGTGGCTAGGAGATGTTAACTCCCTCGCCTGGTGTACAGGAGGTCGTGGGTTCGATCCCGACGCTGACTGCTGCTGCTGTATATTTGGAGTTTGCGTGTCTCTCTCCGTCCCTTTGGTGCGTGGATTTTCCCCCCGGGTCCTCCAGGGTTTCCCCCCCGCCACATTTAGAATCATTGTCGCCACTCGTTTATTTGGCTGCTGCTTTAAATCTCCACGTGATGATGACGACGATCAGTTTAACACGTAACCAATATCATCCATGATAAATGTTTTTTCGTGTTAGATAGCGTAAATATAAACGTGTCGTTAAACCCGCCACCACCCGACACAGTCAATTAGTAAGGTTTGCCACTTAAACAGAACGTGCCAATTTGTTACTGGTACAGCACACCGGCGTGTTGGAGAGCCAAAACACAACATTGTGGCCACAATATTGTAGCCGCAACATTGTGGCCACAACATTGTGGCCACAACATTGTAGCCAAAACATTGCAGCTTGGCTCTCGTACCAAACGCCCCTGATTATCGTGAATGATGGTGACGACGATGATTGCCAACCAAATGTTTCCCGCGTCTGCCGTGTTGTTGTCGTTGCAGGCTTTAGCAAAACTCCGTGCATCGCAGGGATTCCGGATATCGGGGAGTCGGCGTTCAAGTCATCCGGATATCGGGGGTGGGGTGGGGGGAGGAGCATTTCACTCATCCGCCGTCCCCTGACTCCACTGAACCGTGCAGCCTTAAGAGACCGTAGGAGCAAGTGCTGTTAGATAGCACCAACGTTCTCTGCAAACACACACGGACGCACAAACACACGTACGCACACGCTCACGTGCAAAGACAAGCCCACCCGCGTACGCACGCGTACACAAGTACACACACGCACGCAAACGCACAATCAACAACAACAACCGCCATTCGCCACTAAGTGGCGGTGACGTCACCACGACGCTTTTCCCAGGCCATGTGCACCTTGAGGCCATGTGAAGTGTCGAAAGCCCGCTGGCAGGAGGTCACGGGGCAGACCCAGCAGGTGCCACGGGTCGACTGACCGAGATGACCGAGATGACTGGCTGATGCACCACCTGTGCCCCCTACTGTACCAACTTGCGCTTTAGCAACCCGGCGCTCCGCTCGTTGTTGTGAGCGTCGCTCCTCCGCCCTCCGTTGTTGCTGGAGGGCGACTGCCTCCAACTGCCCAGTAGCAGCGTCCTTCACGAGCCTCCTCCACAGAGGCCGATCTTGACACCGCTGGTACCGGTCATCGGCAAGTCCACTCAGTTCCACGTCCTCCTGTACCACATCACTCCAAACACACGCGCGCACACAAACACTCACACACGTACCCAAGGACGCACACACGCACACACGGACCCAAGTACGCACACACGCACGCACGCACGCAGCCACCCCGGGGCCCCGCATGGCTGCCAGGGTGTGCTCCCCGTGCCTCTCGGCCGTGGCGGGCCGTGGTTGGGCCTTGCTGACTCTGCGTGCCGCCCCCCTCGGCGTGCCCCACAAGGCCCTGTGCGAGACGGCGAAGGCCCGGGGCCAGAGGCACAGGCGGGAGAGGAGGCAGATGACGGAGAAGCAGCTGGTGAGGAACGTCCCAAGACCGTGGCAGGGCGGGGGGGTCGGTAATACAGATTGCAATCGGAATCGGGATATTTATTTCAACCGGAGGAGGAATCCGATGAGCTATGAAGCAGAGGTCGCAACCGGGTACCCGTACCCGTACCCGGCCAGGTACGGGTACGGGTAGACCGTGAGTCATTGGTGAGTAACTGTTTGTCACTCTTTTCCCAACGTCTTGTCTCTTCTCACAATTCAAGTTCCTAGAATCAACCCACCCGCGCCTGCAACATGGCTTCATCCCAAAGGTCGCAATCAGGTACCCGATACCCGTACCCTACCCTTACCCGGCCGGGTATGGGTACCCGTTTGCGATCCTGGTGCGGCCGGGTACGGGTAAGGAATCAAAACCCGTTTGCGACCTCTGCTTTGGCGTCATCTGGTCCAACACCATGTGAGACTAGGCTCTAAGGAAAGCTGTCTCGGGTGTGGACCAATCAACTTCAAGGACAGTGCATACATTATCAGAGTTGTGGTTTTTTTGTTTGCATTACGACTGCAGGTATTGTGGTCTATGCAAACATGACTCCTTGTAAAAAAGGTGTCAGTTTTTTTGCGCTATGAACCTGGCGATCCGGGTTCGATTCCCGCTCACAGCCAACACCAGTGACGATTATCTGAACCGGTCCTGGGCCTCCCCTAGGTCGACTCGGCCTCAAATGAGTACCTGGTGCGGTGCGTGAAATCATCGCCGTTGGAGAGACAAAGGCGGCCGGGCGTGGTGCTGGCCACCCACCCCCTCGTGTGCCGTGCCGACCTTAATAGATGCCCACTAACAGCACTTGCCCCTACAGTCTGTTAAGGCTACACCGTTGGGGGGGGATCTTTGTCTGTGTCCTTGCCAGGCGCGCTGGTTTGTGGACGAGCGAGTGGTGCAAGTCTCGGGGGGCCGCGGGGGCGACGGGATGTGCGCCTTCCACAGCGAGCCTCGCAAGGAGTTTGGGGGTCCCGACGGTGGCAACGGGGGAAGGGGGGGCGACGTCATCATGGTCGGTAAGCACCCACCCCCCCCTACCTCCTCACCCTCCCACGCCCCCAACAATATTTATTGTGTGGCTAGGAGATGTTAGTGCAGGAGGTCGTGGGTTTAATCCCGACCCTGACGCCTGCTGCTGTAATATGCACATATTGTTATCGGAGGTACAGTTTAACGCAAAGTTGTGATTATGTGTGTCTGGTGAAACGACTCCAGGAAGTGGCCCCAAGGCTTGCCATAACGTAAGGGGCCACGTGGTCATTTACAGCCAACGTCAGTTGACCGTGGACAATTAGACCCAAGCCGAAACATAACATATAAAAAAAGAATGTTTAAAAAAAATGTTTTTAATGATATAATATAGTATTGTCATCAGTATGACATAAGTATACCAAGTTTGCAGTCCATACCACATTGGGAAGTGGGTTAAAATTGACTTACAAGATTTGAGGATACAACAACAACAGACAGAGTGAGTTAATAGAAAGCGTGTAATAGAAAGACCCATGTAGCCCAGTGGGGCTGTACCCAGTAAAATGTGAAACTGTTGATGGTGTGCGTGTGTCCTCTTGCATTTGGGGAGCGGTAGTCTAGCGGTTAGCGCGCTGCGCTATGAACCCGGCAACCCGGGTTTGATTCCCGCTCACGGCCAACACCAGTGACGATTATCTGAACCGGTCCGGGACCTCCCCTAGGTCGACTCAGCCTCAAATGAGTACCTGGTGCGGTGTGTAGTAAACATCGCCGCTGGGGAGACAAAGGCGGCCGAGCGTGGTGCTGGCCACCCACCCCCTCGTGTGCCGTGCCGGCCTTCACAGATGCTCGCTAACAGCACTTGCCCCGACAGTCTGTTAAGGCTACACGGGGGATCTTTGTCTTTGTACCAGCGGACAGAATGGTTCGCTCCCTGTCTGGGGTGTCCCGTCTCTACCGCGGACACGATGGGACTTCGGGTGGCTCGGACAAATGCTTCGGACGCAACGGCAAAGACAAATTCCTCCACGTACGTCTGTGTGTGCCGTGCCTCTGGCTGGCGTGCGTCTCTCAGCGCGTCTGTCTGTGTGTGTGTGTGTTTCTGTCTGTCTGTCTGTGTGTGTGTTTCTGTCTGTCTGTGTGTGTGTGTTTCTGTCTGTCTGTCTGTGTGTGTGTTTCTGTCTGTGTGTGTGTGTGTGTTTCTGTCTGTCTGTCTGTGTGTGTGTGTCTCGTAGTGTACGTCTGTGTGTGCCGTGCCTCTGGCTGGCGTGCGTCTCTCAGCGCGTCCGTCTGTGTGTGTGTGTGTTTCTGTCTGTCTGTCTGTGTGTGTGTTTCTGTCTGTCTGTGTGTGTGTGTGTTTCTGTCTGTCTGTCTGTGTGTGTGTTTCTGTCTGTCTGTGTGTGTGTGTTTCTGTCTGTTTGTCTGTGTGTGTGTGTTTCTGTCTGTTTGTGTGTGTGTCTCGTAGGGTGTGTCTATGTGTGCGTGTTTCTGTCTGTCTGTGTGTGTGTGTTTCTGTCTGTCTGTCTGTGTGTGTGTGTTTCTGTCTCTTTGTGTGTGTGTGTGTTTCTGTCTGTTTGTGTGTGTGTTTCTGTCTGTTTGTGTGTGTGTGTTTCTGTCTGTCTGTGTGTGCTGTGCGTCTGGCTGGCGTGCGTCTCTCAGCGCGTCCGTCTGTGTGTGTGTTTCTGTCTGTCTGTCTGTGTTTGTGTGTGTGTGTCTCGTAGGGTGTGTCTATGTGTGAGTGTGTGTTTCTGTCTGTGTGTGTGTGTGTGTTTCTGTCTGTCTGTTTGTCTGTGTGTGTGTTTCTGTCGTTTGTCTGTGTCTGTGTCTCGTAGGGTGTGTCTATGTGTGTGTGTTTCTGTCTGTCTGTGTGTGTGTGTTTCTGTCTGTGTGTGTCTCGTAGGGTGTGTCTATGTGTGTGTGTTTCTGTCTGTTTGTGTGTGTGTGTCTCGTAGGGTGTGTCTATGTGTGTGTGTGTTTCTGTCTGTCTGTGTGTCTTTCTGTCTGTGTCGCGTGTGTGTGTCTCGTAGGGTGTGTCTGTGTGTGTGTGTGTTTCTGTCTGTGTGTGTGTGTCTTGTAGTGTGTGTCTGTGTCTGCCGTGCCTGTCTGGCGTGCGTCTCTCAGCGCGTCTGTGTGTGTGTGTTTCTGTCTGTCTGTGTGTGTGTGTGTGTGTTTCTGTCTGTCTGTCTGTGTGTGTGTGTGTTTCTGTCTGTCTGTGTGTGTGTGTCTCGTAGTGTGTGTTTATGTGTGTGTGTGTTTCTGTCTGTCTGTCTGTGTGTTTCTGTCTGTCTGTGTCTGTGTGTGTCTCGTAGTGTGTGTGTGTTTTTGTCTGTCTGTGTGTGTGTGTCTCGTAGTGTGTGTTTGTCTGTGTGTGTGTGTTTCTCTCTGTCTGTGTGTGTGTTTCGTAGTGTGTGTCTATGTGTGTGTGTGTTTCTGTCTGTCTGTGTGTGTGTCTCGTAGTGTGTGTCTATGTGTGTGTGTGTGTTTCTGTCTGTCTGTGTGTGTGTTTCGTAGTGTGTGTCTATGTGTGTGTGTGTTTCTGTCTGTGTGTGTGTGTCTCGTAGTGTGTGTCTATGTGTGTGTGTGTTTCTGTCTGTGTGTGTCTCGTAGTGTGTGTTTGTCTTTGTGTGTGTGTTTCTGTCTGTGTGTCTGTGTGTGTGTCTCGTAGTGTGTGTCTATGTGTGTGTGTGTGTTTCTGTCTGTCTGTGTGTGTCTCGTAGTGTGTGTTTGGCACAGTAGGGGGCACAGGTGGTGCATCAGCCAGTCATCTTAGTCATCTCAGTCAGTCGACCCGTGGCACCTGGGTCTGCCCCGTGACCTCCTGCCAGCGGGCGTTCGACACTTCACGTGGCCTCAAAGTGCACCTAGCCTGGCACAAGCGCCGTGGTGACGTCACCGCCACTTAGTGACGAATGGCGGTTGTCGTTGTGCACGAGTGTACGGGGGCGGGGGGAGCGCTGGTGCAGTGATTAGCGCACTGCTCCACGAACACCGGTGACCCTAGTTCAGTTCCCGCCAACAACATCTGAACAGCTTTGGGCTTGCCCTAGGTCGACTCAGCCTCAAAGCGAGTGCCGCTCGGTCAACACGTGTCGCCCCCCCGGGTGCGGTTCTGGCCACACGGCCCCGATCTTGGGTGCCGCTCGCCAACGGCACTTGCCCCGACGGCGTGCGTGGGCTACGCGGGTGACCTTTGCCCGTGTGTAGGTGCCGGTGGGCACGGTGGTACGTGAGGCGGGCTCCTTGGTGGCCGACCTCAGCGAGCAGGGCGAGGAGGTGGTGGTGGCGCGGGGGGGGGTCGGGGGGCGCGGCAACCACAGCTTCCTCACCAACGACAACCGGGCACCCACCACCACGGAGAAGGTGAACGCACACACGCACGTACGCACGTACGTACACATACGCACGTACACACGTACGCACACACACGCACGTACACACGTACGCACACGTACACACGTACGCACACACGTACACACGTAGACGTGTACACACGTACGCACACACGCACGTGCACATGTACACATATACACACGTACACACGGCTGGGTACGGGTAGGGTACGGGTACGGCCGGGTACGGGTACCCGTTTGCGACCCTGGTGCGGCCGGGTATGGGTACGGGTAAGGAATCAAAACCCGTTTGCGACCTCGGGCCGCTGCCGGCTTGAGAGGCGCTCGCCGAAAACATCATCGCCGCCTTTTGCCTGTGCAGGGAACGGAGGGAGAAGAGAGGACCCTGAAACTGGAAATCAGAACCATGGCTCACTTTGGCCTGGTGAGTCTCAGCGCGTCTGGCGACCAAGCGGGAAGAGGAGACCTAAGGTCACATGTTGGGGGGGGGACCGTGAGGGCACATCTATGGGTCTCTGTGTGAGTCTGTGGGTCTCTGTGTGAGTCTGTGGGTCTCTGTGTGAGTCTGTGGGTCTCTGTGTGAGTCTGTGGGTCTCTGTGTGAGTCTGTGGGTCTCTGTGCGAGTCTGTGGGTCTCTGTGTGAGTCTATGGGTCTCTGTGTGAGTCTGTGGGTCTCCGTGTGAGTCTGTGGGTCTCTGTGTGAGTCTGTGGGTCTACGTGCGAGTCTGTGGGTCTCTGTGTGAGTCTGTGGGTCTACGTGCGAGTATGTGGGTCTCTGTGTGAGTCTGTGGGTCTCTGTGTGAGTCTGTGGGTCTACGTGCGAGTATGTGGGTCTCTGTGCGAGTCTGTGGGTCTACGTGCGAGTATGTGGGTCTCTGTGTGAGTCTGTGGGTCTCTGTGCGAGTCTGTGGGTCTCTGTGTGAGTCTGTGGGTCTACGTGCGAGTATGTGGGTCTCTGTGTGAGTCTGTGGGTCTCTGTGCGAGTCTGTGGGTCTCTGTGTGAGTCTGTGGGTCTACGTGCGAGTATGTGGGTCTCTGTGTGAGTCTGTGGGTCTCTGTGTGAGTCTGTGGGTCTACGTGCGAGTATGTGGGTCTCTGTGCGAGTCTGTGGGTCTACGTGCGAGTATGTGGGTCTCTGTGTGAGTCTGTGGGTCTCTGTGCAAGTCTGTGGGTCTCTGTGTGAGTCTGTGGGTCTACGTGCGAGTATGTGGGTCTCTGTGTGAGTCTGTGGGTCTCTGTGTGAGTCTGTGGGTCTACGTGCGAGTATGTGGGTCTCTGTGCGAGTCTGTGGGTCTCTGTGTGAGTCTGTGGGTCTCTGTGTGAGTCTATGGGTCTCTGTGTGATTCTGTGGGTCTCTGTGTGAGTCTGTGGGTCTCTGTGTGAGTCTGTGGGTCTCTGTGTGAGTCTGTGGGTCTCTGTGTGAGTCTGTGGGTCTCTGTGTGAGTCTGTGGGTCTCTGTGTGAGTCTGTGGGTCTCTGTGTGAGTCTGTGGGTCTCTGTGTGAGTCTGTGGGTCTCTGTGTGAGTCTGTGGGTCTCTGTGTGAGTCTGTGGGTCTCTGTGTGAGTCTGTGGGTCTCTGTGTGAGTCTGTGGGTCTCTGTGTGAGTCTGTGGGTCTCTGTGTGAGTCTGTGGGTCTCTGTGTGAGTCTGTGGGTCTCTGTGTGAGTCTGTGGGTCTCTGTGTGAGTCTGTGGGTCTCTGTGTAAGTCTGTGGGTCTCTGTGTGAGTCTGTGGGTCTCTGTGTGAGTCTCTGTGTGAGTCTGTGGGTCTCTGTGTGAGTCTCTGGGTCTCTGTGTGAGTCTGTGGGTCTCTGTGTGAGTCTGTGGGTCTCTGTGTGAGTCTGTGGGTCTCTGTGTGAGTCTATGGGTCTCTGTGTGAGTCTATGGGTCTCTGTGTGAGTCTGTGGGTCTCTGTGTGAGTCTGTGGGTCTCTGTGTGAGTCTGTGGGTCTCTGTGTGAGTTTATGGGTCTCTGTGTGAGTCTCTGGGTCTCTGTGTGAGTCTGTGGGTCTCTGTGTGAGTCTGTGGGTCTCTGTGTGAGTCTGTGGGTCTCTGTGTGAGTCTGTGGGTCTCTGTGTGAGTCTGTGGGTCTCTGTGTGAGTCTGTGGGTACGCACTCCCTCCGTGTGGCGTGCCGGCCTTGACAGTCGCTACTCGCACTCACAGCACTTGCTCCAACAGTCTGCTGGAGGCTATACGGGGGACCTTTGTCTTTGTCCACTCGCCCCCCCCCCCAGGTGGGTTTCCCGAATGCTGGGAAGTCGTCCCTGCTGAGGGCGCTGACCAACGCTCGCCCGGCCGTGGGCGACTACCCCTTCACCACGCTCCACCCGCACGTCGGCATCGTGGAATACCGCGACTACACGCAGATCGCCGGTCACGCTCACCTCCACCACCACGTCCACCACCACGTCCACCATCACGTCCACCACCACCACCACCTCCACCACCACCACGTCCACCACCTCCACCACTACCTCCACCACCACCTCCACCTCCACCACCACCTCCACCACCACCTCCACCACCACGTTCACCTCCACCACCACCTCCACCACCACTTCCACCACCACATCCACCACCTCCACCACCACCACCTCCATCACCACCACCACCTCCACCATCACGTCCACCATCACGTCCACCACCACCTCCACCACCACCACCACCACCACCACGTCCACCACCACCTCCACCACCACCTCCACCACCACCACCACATCCACGTCCACCACCACCTCCACCTCCACCACCACGTCCACCACCACCTCCACCACCTCCACCACCTCCAGCACCACCTCCACCACCACCACCTCCACCACCTCCACCACTACCACCTGCACCACCTCCACCACCACCTACACCACCTCCACCACCACCTCCACCACCTCCACCACCACCTCCACCACCACCACCTCCACCACCTCCACCACCACCACCTCCACCACCTCCACCACCACCTCTACCACCACCTCCACCACCACCTCCACCACCTCCACCACCTCCACCACCACTACCTCCTCCACCACCTCCACCACTACCTCCACCACCACCACCTCCACCTCCACCACCTCCACCACCACCACCTGCACCACCTCCACCACCACCTGCACCACCTCCACCACCACCTCCACCACCTCCACCACCACCTCCACCACCACCACCTCCACCACCTCCACCACCTCCACCACCACCACCTCCACCACCTCCACCACCACCTCTACCACCACCTCTACCACCACCTCCACCACCACCACCTCCACCACCTCCACCACCACCTCTACCACCACCTCCACCACCACCTCCACCACCTCCACCACCTCCACCACCACCACCACCACTACCCTCCTCCACCACCTCCACCACTACCTCCACCACCACCACCTCCACCACCTCCACCACCACCACCTGCACCACCTCCACCACCACCTCCACCACCTCCACCACCACCTCTACCACCACCTCCACCACCACCTCCACCACCTCCACCACCACCACCACTACCTCCTCCACCACCTCCACCACTACCTCCACCACCACCACCTCCATCTCCACCACCTCCACCACCACCTGCACCACCTCCACCACCACCTGCACCACCTCCACCACCACCTCCACCACCTCCACCACCACCTCCACCACCACCACCTCCACCACCTCCACCACCTCCACCACCACCACCTCCACCACCTCCACCACCACCTCTACCACCACCACCTCCACCACCACCTCCACCACCTCCACCACCACCACCACCTCCACCACTACCTCCTCCACCACCTCCACCACTACCTCCACCACCACCACCACCACTACCTCCTCCACCACCTCCACCACCTCCACCACCACCACCACCTCCACCAGCACCTCCACCACCACCTCCACCACCACCTCCACCACCAACAACAACAACTGCCATTCGCCACTAAGTGGCGGTGACATCACCACGACGCTTGTGCCAGGCCAAGTGCACCTTGAGGCCACGTGAAGTGTCGAACGCCCACTGGCAGGAGGTCACGGGACAGACCCAGCAGGTGCCACGGGTCGACTGACCGAGATGACCGAGATGACTGGCTGATGCACCACCTGTGCCCCCTACTGTGCCAATTTGCTGTGCTTTAGCCACCCGGCGTTGTTGTTGGAGGGTGACTGCCTCCAACTGCCCAGTAGCGTCCGTCATGAGCCTGCTCCACAGAGGCTGATCTTGACACCGCTGGTACCAGTCATCGGCAAGTCCACTCAGCTCCACATCCTCATTCTCTGAAATGGGATTCTGTAGACGATGAGAGTGGGCCTGTCGCTTTTTCTCAGCCAGCCTGAACACCTCTGTCAGCCAGGGTCTCTGGGGAGGTCTGGACCGCGTACCTAAAGGAGCCATTGCAGCTGCATGAGTCACAGTCCTAAACCTTGCCCATTTACCCTCGACATCAGGAGGAGTGGGGGACGATGCCAACCCCAGCCGCAAGCGATGATGAAATTCTTGCAACTTTCATCAGCTAGCTGAGACCAGGCCACTATGGGTTTGAATAGGGTCCTGGGTGTACACCCACCACTGGAGTGGAAGAATGGCAGGCACATCTTACAGATGACTAGTCGATGGTCAGAGGGCAGATCAGCTCCATGGTAGGTCCTGGTGTCAAGGACATGGGCCCGCATCCGCTGTTCCATTACTCTGAAGTCTAGCAGATGTTCTTGCTTGGACCCGGCATGTATCCATGATGTTGTGTGGATATGCCGATGCCAGAACAGCATGTTGGTAATTACAAGGGCTGCACAACAATCTAGCAGCCTCCTACCGTTGTTATTGAGCTGATCTGGCCCATGTCTTCCAATCACTCCAGACCAGGTGCCAGCATCATGACCAATTCGGGCATTGAAGTCACCCAACAAGATGACTCTATCCCGAGGGGCCACTTTAGCCAGCAACCTGTGACAGGAGGTCATAGAAGGCATCTGACTCATCGGCCTTGCCTGCATCCCTCCACGGATGTTCATCTTCGGTGGAGGCATAAGTAACCACGACCACCACTCCTCGCCTCCGGTTGATGGGAAGGTGAGCCCAAAGTTGCCTGGGGCTTACAGCTTCCCACACCTCACCGCCACGCTCCCATGCCCCCTTCATTCTTTTCTTCAGAAGAAGAGCCACTCCCTGTTGTTTGGCATTCTCCTGCCCCGAGTAGAGGACTGTCCACCCCTCATGGTGGCAGGAGCCAGAGCCAGTCCACCAGACCTCCAGAATACCACAAAGATCCAGGCGGGTACCGGTCCAGCTCCCGACAGAGGAGTGGCAGCCTCTCCTCCGCAGTGAGCGTGGCCATCTGTAGTGGCTTTTCGTTGTTTCTGGAGGAGCCCCGAGGGTAAGGATTCAGTCTCGTGGCTCCGCCAATTGGGGTTTGGCCAGGAGACGTCATAGACGCCTGTCCCTCCCGGCGTCTCCGGCACAAGCTTAATAAGTTTTTTACATCGTAGTTTAGTGGTAGTTAATTGAAGGTGGAGGGGTTACCAGCCCCTCGCACCCGTCCAGAGCCCCCGTTTGGCCGCTGTGGTGGCTACAAACGCCATGAAGGGAGAGGCCAATCAAAATTGGCCCTCCCCCCATGGCACTGCTGCCCACCACAGCGTTGCCGTCCGGCACCACGAGTTGGTAGGGGGTTGTTTTGCCGGACACCACCACCACCGCTTCCACCACCATAACCACCTCTACCACAACCACCACCGCCGCCACCACCATCATCACCTCCACCACCACCTCCACCACCAACACCTCCACCACTACCACCACCAGCTCCACCACCATCATCACCTCCACCACCACCTCCACCACCACCTCCACCAGCACCACCTCTACCACCACCTGTAAAGCACTTTGATCCCTTGTGCGATTGCTTTCTTGTAGAAAAATAAACCCCCCGAGTTTACCATGTTTACATTATAGCATTGCACGATTACTACAGCGTTAAAAACGCGCGGAATATTTCTCACAACCGCCAACCTCTCTCTCCCTCCCCACCACCACCCCCGTCCACACCAACACCACCACCACCACCGCCACCACCCCCACCACCCCCACCACCACCACCACCACCCCCACCCCTGGCCACACCACCACCCCCACCACCCCCACCACCACCACCACCCCCACCACCCCCACCACCCCCACCACCACCACCCCCACCACCCCCACCACCACCACCACCCCCACCACCACCACCACCCCCACCACCACCACCACCCCCACCACCACCACCACCACCACCACCCCCACCACCCCCCCCACCCACAGTGGCCGACATCCCCGGCATCGTGGTGGGTGCGCACGCGGGACGCGGCCTGGGCCTCTCCTTCCTGCGCCACGTGGAGCGTTGCCGCGCGCTGCTCTACGTCGTGGACCTGTGCGGCGCCGCCGCCCCCGCCCGCCGCCTCTCCGAGCTGCGGCGCGAGCTGCTCCTCCACGACCCCTGGCTGGCGCTGGCGCCGCACGCCGTCGTAGGCGCCAAGCTCGACCTGCCGGGGGCACGGGAGGCGCTGGCGCGGCTACGCGACGAGCTGGCGGCGGCGGCGGAGGAGGGCGGTGGCGTAGGAACGGAAGCCGCCGCCGTGGTCGTCCTCGGCGTGTCGGCGAAGACCGGCGAGAACGTGGGGAGCCTGGCGGCGCTGCTGAGGCGGGAGTTTGACGGCGCGGAGGAGAAGGAGGAGTAGCGGCAGGGGTGGGTGGGCACGCCGCGTGGACATGACGACACCCACCCCCCCACCCCCACCACCCCCGTGTAGCTGTAACAGGCTGTAGGGGCAAGTGCTGTTAGCGAGTAGCAGCTGTGAAGGTCGGCACTGTGGCACGCGAGGGGGGTGGGTGGTCAGCACCACGCCCCGGTCGCCTTTGTCTCCCCAGTGCCGATGTTTACTACACGCCGCACGCACACCTACGCACGCACACCTACGCACGCACACCTACGCACGCACACCTACGCACGCACACCTACGCATGCACACCTACGCACGCACACCTACACACACACACATACACACGCACCTATGCACGCGAGCACGCACCAAAACGCACGCGCTACACACATACACACGCACACCTACACACCTACACACGCACGCACACCGACATGCATATACACACGCACCTACGCACGCGCTACACACACACACGCGCGCATACCACGTGCGGCTATGTTGCTGACGCGATCGCCTTGCACCGTGTGATGGACCCCCCCCCCTACACGTGTAGTAGCTACAACACGTGTAGTAGCTACACGTGTAGTAGCTACACGTGTAGCAGCTACACACGTGTAGCAGCTACACGTGTAGCAGCTACACACGTGTAGTAGCTACAACACGTGTAGTAGCTACACGTGTAGTAGCTACACGTGTAGTAGCTACACACGTGTAGTAGCTACACATGTGTAGTAGCTACGGACCCCGCACTTTCGAGGGCCCAGCGCTAAATGCTTTTGAGCGGTTCAGTGATTCCGCACTTTCTGTATTACCATAGTACTATACCGCCTTCGACTTTTATGAACGACTGGATGTTTAAGGTTAGCGATTTGTCATTACCTGGTTGTATAGCAAATAAAAAAATACAATTACAGTAAAACCTGTACTGTACTATGCAATTAAACATTTTGTGCGTTTTAATATTTACGTGTTTTCATAATGTAGGTCCCCTTTATAACATCATGTGACAGGCCCCGCACCAACTTCATCCGGCACTGGGAACGGGGCCTTCCATTGAGACCGCTGACCCAGCGCAGGTCAAGTGAGTCAGTAGCCCTGTGCCATCCGGCCGAATGGAATGTCTCTCGTTGTTGTTTGGGCCGCGTTTCTCGGTGCCCAGTCTGCAGGTGCTTGTCCGTCGCTGTCTTGCGCTGGGTAAACCCAAGTCTCAGTGGTGGCTGTCAGTAGGGCTGAACGATTAGTCGGTTTCAAATCGAAATGACAATTTGAAACAATGCGATTCGAAAAACGCAAAGGCTGCGATTTTTTGCGATTTGAAAAGTCCCATTACTTATTGGAATTTTTTATATTTTTTTTATAATTTTAACTTTATTTCTTTAAATTAACAATTGTTATATGTTTGATTGTTCTATTTATACTCTTTGGTTTTTTCGGTAAAGTCACGTAGGTAAAATTTTTTTTAAATACAAACATTTTTATAAATACACGTTGGAAGCAATTCTTATCTTTTAAGTTCTCGTCTTTGCATTAGAATATATAGAGCAGTTCATATTTTGATGGCATCACGTGGCAATGCTCCATCACATGTTCTAAATCTATTACACAGTGAATATTGAACTGAAGCTTGACTTCTATTTTTTATCGCAAATCAATTCGCAATCGCAACATCTGTCAGTAAAATCACAATTCGATATTTCCCCCAAATCGTTCAGCCCGAGCTGTTAGCCCCCGACGTAGATGATGGGTGTGGGAGGGTGTGGGCAGGGCATGCTGTTCCCAGCTCACACAGGGTGTCTTGAGGAGGTGGCTGTTCACCAGGTGACTTGTGGTGCTGTCGGTTCGGACGTAGGTGGCCCGGCCTCGCTTGGCGTGTCCGCGGTAGCGGCCCGGCCTCTTCCATCACCAGTGTGGAGGTTTCCTGCAGTGGAGCGTTGGGCAGCGACGACTTAAGCATTGATAAATGTTTTTTTACCCTTCTATTTGGCAACAAAACTGACACCTTATTTACAAGGAGTCATGTTTGCATAGACCACAATACCTCCGCTTGGATGACATCAGAGGTCGCAACCGAGTACCCGTACGCTACCCGATACCCGGCTACCCGTACCCGGCTGGGTACAGGTACGGGTACCCGTTTGCGACCCTGGTGCGGCCGGGTACGGGTAAAGAATCAAAACCCGTTTGGGACCTCTGGATGACATTGATTCGGAGGATTCGGAGGGCTGCTGGTCCCACTGCGATGTGATCTTGGGGTGGTTCCCTTTCGGCTTTTGGCGACGTCGGCAAGGATTTTGGGGGCTCTTCCCCCGAAGCTTCTCATAGGCTTTAGTCTGCTTTAGTCCCATAAATATCTTAATTTTGGAGCTTTCGTGACTGCAGGAATTATTCTTTGGTTCTTTCGGTAAAGTCACGTATGAAGATAAAATAATAAATTAAATAATAGCGTTTTTGTTTTTGTGCCGATACGTGTCCTCTCTCTCTGTGTGTATCTTTATGATATCTGTCTGCTTATATGTCTGTCTATAGTTTTCTGGTTAGATTTTTGTTGCTATTTCTTTTATACCTGATGATGATTGCTTGCGTTGCAATCGAAACGTCGTAGTATGCTATTATTTAATTTATTATTTTATCTTTATACGTGACTTTACCGAAAGAACCAAAGAATAATGCCATAAATATGCTAAATTCCTCTTGATATGCAAATTCTTTTGTCAAGGCGCTCTTCCCCCCTCCATCCCAGCTTAAATAGTCGCTCCAAGCCTGGGGCTTTTCATTCAGACGCTGTCTCCTCGACAGACCTGTTCTCCACCTGAGGACGGATACTTGCGTTGTGGCCGAAACGTCGTGAGAATTATTGTATTATGTTTATTATTTTATTATTTCCATTCTACGTGACTTTACCGAAAGAACCAAGAAGATGAATCCCTGCAGTCACGAAAGCTTCTCTTAGGCTTTAGTCTGCTTGTTCGGGACTGAACTGGCAACTGTGAACGCTGATCCATCGCTCCCCGTCAGCAATGTCTGGCCCCAAATATTTCAACGCCACTCCCACCCCCCGCTCCCCTCCCCTCCCGGCCGCCGCTCTCCGCGGCTATAAAAAGCTTCTCGGCGGATGACCCCAGTGCCAGATGTCCTGAACCGAGACTCTCTCAAGGAGGTGATTCCGGGAGGCTCGAAATCCAGCTCACCCCACCGCACCCCCCCGGGGCAAGGGAGACGTCTCAAGGAGCCCACGACTACCAACAACAACCACCACCACCACGACCACCACCACCACCACCACGATGGTCCTCCCAGCCCTGAGCGCCGAGCCGACCTTCAAGAAGCTCTGCGAGTGGCACGCGGCAAACGCCTCCGCCCTGCACATGCGCACGCTCTTCCACGATGACCCGAAGCGCTTCGACAAGTTCAGGTGAGCAGCAGTAGCAGCAGCAGTAGCAGCAGCAGTAGCAGCAGCAGTAGCAGCAGCAGTAGCAGCAGCAGTAGCAGCAGCAGTAGCAGCAGCAGTAGCAGCAGCAGTAGCAGCAGCAGTAGTAGCAGTAGCAGCAGTAGCTGCAGCAGTAGCAGCAGCAGTAGCAGCAGCAGTAGTAGCAGCAGCAGTAGTAGCAGTAGCAGCAGCAGTAGCAGCAGTCGTAGCAGCAGTAGCAGCAGCAGTAGTAGCAGCAGCAGTAGCAGCAGTAGTAGCAGCAGCAGTAGCAGCAGTAGTAGCAGCAGTAGTAGTAGTAGCAGCAGTAGTAGCAGCAGCAGTAGCAGCAGTAGTAGCAGTAGCAGCAGTAGTAGCAACAGCAGTAGCAGCAGTAGTAGTAGCAGCAGTAGTAGCAGTAGCAGCAGCAGTAGCAGCAGTAGTAGCAGCAGCAGTCGTAGTAGCAGCAGTAGTAGCAGCAGTAGCAGCAGTAGTAGCAGCAGCAGCAGTAGCAGCAGTAGGAGCAGCAGCAGTAGTAGCAGCAGCAGTAGCAGCAGTAGTAGCAGCAGCAGTAGTAGCAGCAGCAGTAGTAGCAGCAGTAGCAGCAGCAGCAGTAGTAGCAGTTGCAGCAGCAGTAGCAGCAGCAGTAGTAGCAGCAGTAGGAGTAGTAGCAGCAGCAGTAGCAACAGCAGCAGCAGTAGTAGCAGCAGCAGTAGCAGCAGCAGTAGGAGTAGTAGCAGCAGCAGTAGCAACAGCAGTAGCAGCAGTAGCAGTAGTAGCAGCAGCAGCAGTCGTAGTAGCAGTAGCAGCAGTAGTAGCAGCAGCAGCAGCAGTCGTAGTAGCAGCAGCAGTAGCAGCAGCAACAGTAGCAGCAGTAGTAGCAGCAGCAGCAGCAGTAGTAGCAGCAGCAGTAGCAACAGCAGTAGCAGCAGTAGTAGCAGTAGCAGCAGCAGCAGAAGTAGCAGCAGTAGCAGCAGCAGTAGCAGCAGTAGCAGCAGAAGTAGCAGCAGAAGTAGCAGCAGCAGCAGTGCTGTGTTTGTGTGCATGCAATGTGTGTGTATGTGCAGTGTCTGTGTGCAGTGTGTGTGTGTGTATCGGTGCGCATGCAATGTCTGTGTGCGGTGTGTTGATGTGTGTGTGCGTGCAATGTGTGTGTGTGTAATGTATGTGTGTGTGTTGATTTGTGTGTGCATGCAGTATGTTGATGTGTAGTGTGTGTGTGTGCAAGCAATGTGTGTGTGTAATGTCTGTGTGTGTGTGCAGTGTCTGTGTGTGTAATGTGTGTGTGTGCAATGTCTGTGTGTGTGTGCAACATCTGCGTGTGTGCGTGTGCAACATCTGTGTGTGTGTGCTGTGTGTGTCTGCGTGTGTGTGCGTGTGTGCAACATCTGCGTGTGTACGTGTGCAACATCTGTGTGTGTGTGTGTGCTGTGTGTGTGTCTGCGTGTGTGTGTGTGCGTACAACATCTGCGTGTGTGCGTGTGCAACATCTGTGTGTGTGTGTGCTGTGTGTGTGTCTGCGTGTGTGCAATGTCTGTGTGCAACATCTGTGTGTGTGTGTGTGCTGTGTGTGCAACATCTGCGTGTGTGCGCGTGCAACATCTGTGAGCGACGATTATCTGAACCGGTCCTGGGTTTCCCCGAGGTCGTCTCAGCCTCAAAACGAGTAACCTGCCCCCACGTGTAAACAACATCGCCACTGGGGAGACAAAGGCGGCCGGGCGTGGTGCTGCCACCCACCCCTCGTGTGTCGTAGCGCCGTCCGTCGCAGGTGCCGCTCGGCACTTTGCGAACGGCGCTTGCCCCTCTCGCAGCCTGTAGCAGGCTGTAGCAGGCTGTAGCAAGCTGCTACAGGCTGTAGCAGGCTGTATCAGGCTGTAGCAGGCTGTTTCAGACTGTTGCAAGCTGTTGCAGGCTGTAGCAGGCACTAGCAGGCTGTAGCAGGCTGTATCAGGCTGAAACAGGCTGTAGCAGCCTGTTGAAAGCTGTTCCAGGCTGTAGCAACCTGTAGCAGGCTGTAGCAGCCTGTAGCAGCCTGTAGCAGGCTGTAGCAGCCTGTTGCAAGCTGTTGCAGGGTGTAGTAGCTTGTTGCAGGCTGTTAGCAGGCTGTCGCAGGCTGTCGCAGGCTGTAGCAGGCTGTTGCAGGCTGTAGCAGGCTTTTGCAGGCTGTAGCAGGCTGTATCAGGCTGTATCAGGCTGTTGCAAGCTGTTGCAGGCTGTAGCAGGCACTAGCAGCCTGTAGCAGACTGTAGCAGCCTGTAGCAGGCACTAGCAGGCTGTAGCAGGCTGTCACAGACTGTCGTAGGCTGTCGCAGACTGTCGTAGGCTGTAGCAGGCTGTTGCAAGCTGTAGCAGGCTGTAGCAGGCACTAGCAGGCTGTAGCAGGCTGTCACAGACTGTCGTAGGCTGTCGCAGACTGTCGTAGGCTGTATCAGGCTGTTTCAGACTGTTGCAAGCTGTTGCAGGCTGTAGCAGGCACTAGCAGCCTGTAGCAGACTGTAGCAGCCTGTAGCAGGCACTAGCAGGCTGTAGCAGCCTGTTGCAAGCTGTAGCAGGCTGTAGCAGGCTGTAGCAGGCTGTTGCAGGCTGTAGCAGGCTGTTGCAAGATGTCACAGGCTGTAGCAGGCTGTCGCAGGCTGTTGCAAGCTGTCGCAGGCTGTAGCAGCCTGTTGCAAGCTGCCCCAGACTGTCGCAGGCTGTCGCAGGCTGTAGCAGCCTGTTGCAAGCTGTTGCAGGCTGTAGCAGCCTGTTGCAAGCTGTTCCAGGCTGTGGCAGGCTGTAGCAGCCTGTTGCAAGCTGTTCCAGGCTGTCGCAGGCTGTCGCAGGCTGTAGCAGCCTGTTGCAAGTTGTAGCAGGCTGTTGCAGGCTGTAGCAGGCTGTGTTTTTTATCTGCCTGCGTGCTGTCTGCTGGAACCCGAGACCCGCTGGTGAGACTTGCTGACTTAGGGGTCCGGCTAATTTGGGTGCCCAACCTTTGGGCGAGTTATTTAATTATTAACGCGGCTATTTCTGACCGAGTGTAGGGTTGGTGACCCTGACAATTATAATATAATATCGTGTGTGTGTGTGTATATGTGTGTGTGTGTATATATAGGAGGGGCAGACACTTGAAACTGCGCTCAGTGCCTATGTAAGGGTGTCTGGGGTGTGCGTGTCTGTCTGGGTGTGTCTGTGTGGGTGTGTGTCTGTGTGTGTCTGTCTGGGTGTATCTGTGTGGGTGTGTGTCTGCGTGGGTGTGTCTGTGTGGGTGTGTCTGTCTGTGTGGGTGTGTCTGTGTGGGTGTGTGTCTGTGTGTGTCTGTCTGTGTGTGTCTGTGTGGGTGTGTGTGTCTGTGTGTGTGTGTCTGGGTGTATCTGTGTGGGTGTGTGTCTGTGTGGGTGTGTGTGTCTGTGTGTGTGTCTGGGTGTGTCTGTGTGTGTGTCTGTGTGGGTGTGTGTGTCTGTGTGTGTGTCTGGGTGTGTCTGTGTGTGTGTCTGTGTGGGTGTGTGTGTCTGTGTGTGTGTCTGGGTGTGTCTGTGTGTGTGTCTGTGTGGGTGTGTGTGTCTGTGTGTGTGTCTGGGTGTGTCTGTGTGTGTGTCTGTGTGGGTGTGTGTGTCTGTATGTGTCTCTATGGGTGTCGGTGTGTGGGGAGCGGTGGTATAGCGGTTAGCACGCTACGCTATGAACCCGAGTAAGATTCCCGCTCACGGCCAACATCAGTGATGAAAATCTGAAGCATGTTCTGGGCCTCCCCCAGGTCGACTCGGCCATAAATGAGTCCCTGGCGCGGTGTGTTGAAAGCGTCACCACTGGGGCGGCCGGGACCCGGCTCTGGCCACACCGCCTCTCACAGCGTGCGCCGTTCCGGCCTTCGTAGGGGCCGCTCGCGAACGGCTCTTGCCCCAACAGTCTGCTCAAGGCTACCCGGGCGACCTTTGTCTTTGTGTAGCACGGTGCTGAAGACCGAGGATGGGGAGCTCCTCTTTGACTACTCTAAGAACCTCATCAATGAAGAGGTGATGAAGATGCTCGTGGACATGGTGAGGACACCGCCAACACCTGCAGAGAGACACTGCACTGCCGTGCAGTCCATCAGCTGGTCCATCAGTCACTCCATCAACCAGTCCATCAACCAGTCCATCAGCTGGTCCATCAGTCAGTCCATCAGCTGGTCCATCAGTCACTCCATCATTCAGTCCATCAGTCAGTCCATCAGCCAGTCCATCATCCAGTCCATCAGTCAGTCCATCAGTCAGTCTATCATCCAGGCCATGAGCCCGTCCATCAGTCAGTCCATCAGTCAGTCCATCAGCCGGTTCATCAGTCAGTCCATCAGTCAGTCCATCAGTCAGTCCATTAGCTTGTCCATCAGCCAGTCCATCAGTCAGTCCATCAGTCAGTCCATTAGCTTGTCCATCAGCCAGTCAGCCTGCGGGCAGCTCAGCCAGTCTTTGGGTCAATTGGTCACCGCACCAACTCGGCCTCAAATGAGTACCTGGTGCGGTGTGTAAACATCGCCACTGGGGAGACAAAGGCGGCCGGGCGTGGTGCTGGCCACCCACCCCCTCGTGTGCCACAGTGCCGGTTGCCTTCATAGGTGGCGCGGGGTGTAGTGTTTATTGACAAGGATCGATTATAATTGCAACTCGCACTCCTCTACCATAGTACAGGGGCTTGTTTTTGTTAGTTGGGGGTTAGATCGCATAAATCAATGCCGTAATTATAATAAATAATATTCAAATATGCTCCAAATGTTCCCCACAATATATTGCTATAAAATAGATTTCTGTTTATATGATTGTGGTTATGGTTGTACTGTATTAATCCCTAATCTCTGCCATTACATACAATGAAACAAGAAAAGGTAAAAAAAACAGAGCAATGTATTACAATACACTATTAGACATTATTGTAAAAAAAAAATGTAAAGTCCATCCTATGTGTTAGTGCATTTTTAAATATTTTAGGCAGGAAATTCGTTTTTAAAATTCGATGTTTTTTTTCTGGGGGGGAGGGGGGGCCTAGACCCCCTGGAAGATTTGCCCCCCCCAATGTTGACTCCATGGCTATGGCCTTGGCATAAATACACATGCCGTTAAACCCGCCACCACCTGGCACGGCCTATTGCCAATGTTTGATTCACGTGAATGGAACTGTGGAAATTCGGCCCCGGGGGGGGGGGGGGGGGGGGGGGGTGTGAGGGGGGGCACGTGGTGCTGCCCCCACCCCCTGCCCTTCGTGTGCCGTGCCAGCCGCCCTTGGTAGACGCTGCCCCTCGCGAACGGCACTCGCCCCCCAGCTGCTCGCACTCGTTCACTCATTCATTCACCCATTCATTCACTCATTCACCCATCCATTCACTCATTCACCCATTAATTCACCCATCCATTCACTCATTCACGAACTCATTCACCCATTCAATCACCCATTCAATCACCCATTTATTCACTCATTCACCCATTCATTCACTCATTCACTCATTCACCCATTCATTCACTCATTCACCCATTCATTCAGCCATCCATTCACTCATTCACGAACTCATTCACCCATTCAATCACCCATTCAATCACCCATTTATTCACTCATTCACCCATTCATTCACTCATTCACCCATTCATTCACTCATTCACCCATTCATTCACCCATCCATTCACTCATTCACGAACTCATTCACCCATTCAATCACCCATTTATTCACTCATTCACCCATTCAATCACCCATTTATTCACTCATTCACCCATTCATTCACCCATTCATTCACCCATCAATTCACCCATCCATTCACTCATTCACCCATTCATTCACTCATTCACCCATTCATTCACTCATTCATTCACCTATTCATTCACTAATTCATTCGCCAATTCTTTCACCCATTTATTCACCCATTCATTCGCTCATTTTTTCACCCATTCATTCGCTCATTAATTCACCCATCCATTCACTCATTCATTCACTCATTCACCCATTCATTCACCAATTCATTCACTCATTCATTCACTCATTAATTCCTCAATTCTTTCACCCATTCATGCACTCATTCATTCACTCATTCATTCACCTATTAATTCACTCATTCATTCACCAATTCTTTCACCCATTCATTCGCTCATTAATTCACCCATTCATTCACTCACTCACTCATTCTCTCTCTTGTTACCCTCTCACCCCCTCTCCCCCGTGTCCCCCCCCCCCCCTCACCTCACCAGGCAAAGGCACGTGGGGTGGAGAAGGCCCGAGAACAAATGTTCTCTGGCGAGAAAATCAACTTCACCGAGGTGAGGGATGAGCGGCGTCCGGGCCAAACTGCCCGGGACGGTGTTGGCAACACTTGCCGCTGGTGATTGCGTAGCCGTGAAAACGAGCACCGCTTTGAGCGCCACGATGGCTAGGAGATGTTGACTACCTCGCCTGGTGTACAGGAGGTCGTGGGTTCGATCCCGACCCTGACGCCTGCTGCTGTATATTTGGAGTTTGCGTCTCTCTCATCATCATCACGGTGGCTAGATGTTGACTACCTCGCCTGGTGTACAGGAGGTCGTGGGTTCGATCCCGACCATGACGCCTGCTGTATATTTGGAGTTTGCGTGTCTCTCTCTCATCATCATCATGGTGGCTAGGAGATGTTAACTACCTCGCCTGGTGTACAGGAGGTCGTGGGTTCGATCCCGACCCTGACGCCTGCTGCTGTATATTTGGAGTTTGCGTGTCTCTCTCCCCGTGGTCACGTGGATTTTTCTCCGGATCCTCCTGGGTCTTTCCCTCCACATTAAAAATCAGTATTTGGCTGCGATACATTTCCACGCGACGAGCCACTTCGTTGAGCTATCATTTGTGGCCACGTCGCTTCTAGAAAAGAACGATGTTGCCAGGGATTTGGAGGCAGTCGCCCTCCAGCAACAGCGGAGGGCGGAGGAGCGACAGCTCACAACAACGAGCGAAGCGCCGGGCGGTTAAAACGCAGTGAGTTGGCACAGTAGGAGGTACACAGTTGGTGGTGCATCTACCGGTCATCTCAGTCGGCCAACCCATGGCACCTGCTGGGTTTGTTTCGAGATCTCCTCATGCACCGGTGAAGATTATCTGAGACCGGACCTGATCCATCCCTAGGTCGACTGGGCCATAAATAAGAATGATTAAAATGTAAAATTGCGGCTCAGTTTAAAGAGATGGGTTTTCCGCGCCTTGTGGGTGCCACGCTAACAGAAGCACGGATCGGCAAGAGAGCGCGACCTGTAGGTCCTGGGGTAGCTGAGCAGTTGGAGATCAGTTCTTAAGGACCGTGATAGAGGCTTGTTTGGGTGAGATTGCGTGAATGTATAAATGTTGTGTCGTTAAACCCGCCACCACCCGACAGCCAACTAGTGAGGGTTGTCACGTAGACAGAACGTGCCAATTCGTTACTAGTACAGCACTAGTGTGTAGTGTAGTGTATAGTAGTGTATAGTGTAGTGTATTGTGTAGTGTATTGTAGTGTATGGTGTAGTGTAGTGTATAGTAGTGTAGTGTATAGTAGTGTAGTGTATAGTGTAGTGTATTGTGTATAGTAGTATATAGTAGTGTAGTGTATAGTAGTGTAGTGTATTGTGTATAGTAGTGTATAGTGTAGTGTATAGTGTAGTGTATTGTAGTGTGTAGTGTATAGTGCAGTGTATAGTATAGTGTATAGTAGTGTAGTGTATAGTGTAATGTATAGTAGTGTATAGTAGTGTATTGTATAGTAGTGTAGTGTATAGTAGTATAGTGTATAGTAGTGTATAGTAGCGTAGTGTATAGTGTAGTGTATTGTGTATAGTAGTGTATAGTGCAGTGTATAAGTGTAGTGTATAGTAGTGTAGTGTATAGTAGTGTATAATGTAGTGTATAGTGTAGTGTAGAGTGTAGTATATCAGTACAGCACACCGGTTGTGTGTTGGAGAGCCAAGCCACAACATTCACGCCCAATCTGTCTGTCGCCTGATGAAGCTGGTTGCAATTATCGACGGCCTGCGACTTGCCCCAGCAGTCTTGAAGGCTACACATTGGACGGCACCTTTGTCTTTGGTGTGTGCGTGCACAGCACCGTGCAGTTCTGCACGTGGCGCTGAGGAACCGCTCGGGGAAGCCGCTGATGCTGGAGGGGAAAGACGTGATGCCCGGAGTGAAGGCCGTGCTCGAGAAGATGAAGGCCTTCTGTCACGTGGGTACACACACAGAAGGCAAAGATGCCCCGTGTAGCCTTGACGGACTGTTGGGGCAAGTGCTGTTTAGCAGCAGCGCCTATGAAGGCCGGCACGGCACACGTGTACACACACGCACGCGTACACACACACGTACACAGGTACACATGCGTACACACACACGTGTACACACACACGCGTACACACGTACACAGGTGCACACGTACACACACGCACACGTACACACACACACGTACACACACACGTACACAGGCACACACGTGTACACACACACACGTACACACACGCGCATGTACACACACGTACACAGGTACGCACACACGTTTACACACACATACGTACATACACATACGTACATACACACACGTACACAGGTACACACGTGTACACACGTGTACACACACGTACACACACACACGTGTACACACACACACGCGTACACACACACGCGTACACACACACGTGTACACACACACGCGTACACACACACATACGTACACACACACATGTAAACCAACAACAACAACCGCCATTCGCCACTAAGTGGCGGTGACGTCACCACGACGCTTGTGCCAGGCCATGTGCACCTTGAGGCCACGTGAAGTGTCGAACGCCCGCTGGCAGGAGGTTACGGGGCAGACCCAGCAGGTGCCACGGGTCGACTGACCGAGATGACCGCGATGACACAAGTACACACACACACACACGTAAACACACACACGTAAACACATGTATACACACACGTACACACACACGTACACACACACACACATGTACACCCACGTGAACACACACACACGTAGACACATGTACACACACAGACGTACACACGTGAACACACATGTACACACACACGTACACATATACACACACACACGTACACACGTACACACACGTACACACATGTACACACACACACAACCCCGCGGCGCTTTGGGATTCGCTTCCGTGGCCGTCTGGAACGCGCTCTTCCTTCCGATATCAGGAAGCCACAGGACCCGTACACTCTCAAATCGCCATCTACATCGACGAACTCATTGCTTCGCAACTGCTTTGTGTGTTTAGGTTGCTGTTGTTGTTGTTGGCTACGTACGGTGCGAAAGAATTTTGCTAACAGCACTTGCCCGCAGCAGTCGGTCGAGGCTACACGGGGGACCTTTGTCTTTGTGCAGCGCGTGCGCTCCGGCGAGTGGCTGGGCTACACGGGGAAGCCCATGACTCACGTGGTGAACATTGGCATCGGAGGGTCGGATCTGGTGAGTTTCGCCACTCCACACACTCATCAGCATCATCGGCAGCAGAATAACATTCATTATAATCATCATCATCATCATCAGCAGCAGCAGCAGCAGCATCATGACACTCATCATCATCATCATCACACTTATCAGCATCAAGATAATCACACTCATTTCCATCAGCATCATCATCGGCAGCAGCATAATCATCACACTCATTATAATCATCATCATCATCAGCAGCAGCAGCATCATGACACTCATCATCATCACACTTATCAGCATCATCATCACACTCATTATAATCATCATCATCATCAGCAGCAGCAGCATCAACATCAGCATCATCATCACACTCATTATAATCATCATCATCAGCAGCATAATCATCACACTCATCATCATCACACTTATCAGCATCATCATCACACTCATTATAATCATCATCATCATCATCAGCAGCAGCAGCAGCATCAACATCAGCATCATCATCACACTCATTATAATCATCATCATCAGCAGCAGCATCATGACACTCATCATCATCATCATCACACTTATCAGCATCATCATCATCACACTCATTATAATCATCAGCAGCAGCAACAGCATTACATTCATCATCATCAGCATCATCATCATCACACTTATCAGCATCAAGATCATCACACTCATTATAATCATCATCATCAGCATCATCATCACACTCATTATAATCATCATCATCATCAGCAGCAGCAGCATCATGACACTCATCATCATCATCAGCATCATCATCACACTTATCAGCATCAAGATCATCAAGCAATCATCATCAGGTGTGAAATCCACAGCAAGGAAATTTGAGAGAAAAAACTTAACCCGTAAAAACAAAGTTTTTCACTATAAATCCTTTATATGCGTGGCGGCTAGAGTCCTCTCGTCCTCTGGCTTGAGATGGCTGCCACCTATGGGTCAGATCATTGCCTGCCACCATTAAGCAATTGGTTATTAAATATAATTTTTTTTCCTAAAAAGTGTAAAGTTATGGAACAAAAATTTCACGAAAATAAATTGTCACGCACAACGAGTCTGTGTGCAAAATGTCAGCTCGATTGGATCACGGGAAGTGGTTTAAAAAACGACCGAAAGATTTGCACGGTCGTAAGCACGCAAGCAAGCACGCGAACTTAATATAAAGGATTTAAAAAACGCCACTTTAAAAAAAAAATTTTGTTGTGGATTTCACACCTGATGATGATTGCTTGTGTTGCAGTGGAAACGTCGTGAGAATTTTATTTTTTCTTCTTGGTTCTTTCGGTAAAGTCACGTAGAAGGGAAGTAATAAAATAATATTATGTTTTATTTTTATTATTTTATTACTTCCCTTCTACGTGACTTTACCGAAAGAACCAAGAAGATGAATCCCTTGAGTCACGAAAGCTTTAAATCGAGAATTGTATTGTTTAATATTTGTATTATTTTATTATTTCCCTTCTACGTGACTTTACCGAAAGAACCAAGAATATGAATCCCTGCAGTCACGAAAGCTTTAAATCGAAACCCACACATCATCATCATCATCATCCGGCCACACCACTCCGCTTCGTAAGCACTTGCCCCGGCAGCACTTGCCCCAGCGGCCCGCGTGGGCTACACGGGCACGGAGGGGGTGGCGCCTTTACCTTTACCTCTGCGGCCACGTGCGCAGGGCCCCCTGATGGTGACGGAGGCCCTGAAGCCGTACTCCGTGGGGGGTCCCAGCGTCTCGTTCATCTCCAACATCGACGGCACGCACCTAGCCAAGACGCTGGCCAGCCTGCAGCCCGACACCACCCTCTTCATCATCGCCTCCAAGGTACACGGCAGTCCATCGTGAGCCACTCGCACCGCCCTCTTCATCACCACCCTCTTCATCACCGCCCTCTTCATCACCGCCCTCTTCATCACCGCCCTCTTCATCATCACCCTCTTCATCATCACCCTCTTCATCATCGCCCTCTTCATCATCACCCTCTTCATCACCGCCCTCTTCATCATCACCCTCTTCATCACCACCCTCTTCATCACCACCCTCTTCATCACCGCCCTCTTCATCACCACCCTCTTCATCACCACCCTCTTCATCACCACCCTCTTCATCACCGCCCTCTTCATCACCGCCCTCTTCATCACCACCCTCTTCATCATCACCCTCTTCATCATCACCCTCTTCATCACCGCCCTCTTCATCATCACCCTCTTCATCACCACCCTCTTCATCACCGCCCTCTTCATCACCGCCCTCTTCATCACCACCCTCTTCATCACCGCCCTCTTCATCACCACCCTCTTCATCACCACCCTCTTCATCACCGCCCTCTTCATCACCGCCCTCTTCATCACCACCCTCTTCATCATCACCCTCTTCATCATCACCCTCTTCATCACCGCCCTCTTCATCACCGCCCTCTTCATCACCACCCTCTTCATCACCACCCTCTTCATCATCACCCTCTTCATCACCACCCTCTTCATCATCGCCTCCAAGGTACACGGCAGTCCATCGTGAGCCACTCGCACCGCCCTCTTCATCACCGCCCTCTTCATCATCACCCTCTTCATCACCACCCTCTTCATCACCGCCCTCTTCATCACCACCCTCTTCATCATCACCCTCTTCATCATCACCCTCTTCATCACCACCCTCTTCATCACCACCCTCTTCATCACCACCCTCTTCATCATCGCCTCCACGGTACACGGCAGTCCATCGTGAGCCACTCGCACCGCCCTCTTCATCACCGCCCTCTTCATCATCACCCTCTTCATCACCGCCCTCTTCATCACCGCCCTCTTCATCACCACCCTCTTCATCATCGCCTCCAAGGTACACGGCAGTCCATCGTGAGCCACTTGCACTGCCCTCTTCATCATCACCCTCTTCATCATCACCCTCTTCATCATCACCCTCTTCATCATCACCCTCTTCATCACCACCCTCTTCATCACCACCCTCATCATCACCACCCTCTTCATCACCGCCCTCTTCATCACCACCCTCTTCATCACCGCCCTCTTCATCACCACCCTCTTCATCATCACCCTCTTCATCATCACCCTCTTCATCACCACCCTCTTCATCATCACCCTCTTCATCACCGCCCTCTTCATCATCGCCTCCAAGGTACACGGCAGTCCATCGTGAGCCACTTGCACCGCCCTCTTCATCACCACCCTCTTCATCACCACCCTCTTCATCACCGCCCTCTTCATCACCGCCCTCTTCATCACCACCCTCTTCATCACCACCCTCATCATCACCACCCTCTTCATCACCGCCCTCTTCATCACCACCCTCTTCATCATCGCCTCCAAGGTACACGGCAGTCCATCGTGAGCCACTCGCACCGCCCTCTTCATCACCACCCTCTTCATCATCGCCCTCTTCATCACCACCCTCTTCATCATCACCCTCTTCATCATCGCCCTCTTCATCATCACCCTCTTCATCACCGCCCTCTTCATCATCACCCTCTTCATCATCGCCCTCTTCATCATCACCCTCTTCATCATCACCCTCTTCATCACCGCCCTCTTCATCACCACCCTCTTCATCATCGCCTCCACGGTACACGGCAGTCCATCGTGAGCCACTCGCACCGCCCTCTTCATCATCACCCTCTTCATCACCGCCCTCTTCATCACCACCCTCTTCATCATCGCCTCCACGGTACACGGCAGTCCATCGTGAGCCACTCGCACCACCCTCTTCATCACCGCCCTCTTCATTACCACCCTCTTCATCACCGCCCTCTTCATCACCGCCCTCTTCATCATCGCCTCCAAGGTACACGGCAGTCCATCATGAGCCACTCACACCGCCCTCTTCATCATCACCCTCTTCATCACCACCTTCTTCATCGCCACCCTCTTCATCGCCACCCTCTTCATCAAGGCTTCTAAACTACCCGGCGTCCCGGCCATTGTGAATGTTCGAGACGTGGGGGGTGGGTTGGTGTAGTGTTGTCTGTAGTGGCGGTGACGTTTATGATGACGTTGACAATGATGTCGACGACGATGATGTTGACGATGATGTTGATGTTGACGATGTTGATGTTGACGATGATGTTGCGATTATGTTGCGATGATGTTGATGTTGACGATGATGTTGACGATGATGTGAAGATGTTGATGATATTAATATTTACGATGTTGACGATGATGTTGCGATTATGTTGCGATGATGTTGATGTTTACGATTATGATGTTGACGATGATGTTGCGATGATGTTGATGATATTGATATTTACGATGTTGATGTTAACGATGTTGACGATGTTGGTGATGTTGACGATTATGATGTTGACGATGATGTTGCGATGATGTTGATGATATTGATATTTACGATGTTGATGTTAACGATGTTGATGTTGACGATGTTGGTGATGTTGACGATGACGATGGTGTTGACGATGTTGCGACGATGTTGATGTTGACGACGTTGATGTTGATGTGGACGTGTGCAGACGTTCACCACTCAGGAGACCATCACCAACGCTGAGTCGGCAAAAGCCTGGTTCCTGGAGAAAGCAAAAGATGTGAGAATACTGCACCCATGTGTCTGAGTGTCTGTCCGTGTGATCGTCCGTGTGTCTGTACGTGTGTGTCCGTGTGTCTGTCCGTGTGTCTGTCCGTGTGTGTCCGTCCATGTGTATGTGTGTCTGTGTGTGCCTGTGTGTGTCTGCCCGTGTGTCCATCTGTGTGTATCTATGTGTGTCCGTGTGTGGCTGTGTGTCTGTCCACGTGTCTGTCCGTGTGTTCGTCCGTGTGTCTGTGCATCTATGTGCCTGTCCGTGTGTGTCCATGCGTTGGCTGGGTCACGTAGCCCACATGCCCAGCCACTGCGTGCCCAGCCACCGCATGCCAAAGCAGCTTCGGTTTGGCCACATAGACCCAACTAAACGGGCGAGGCACGGGCTAGAGAAGAGATGGAGTGATGTGGTACAGGAGGACGTGGAGCTGAGTGGACTTGCTGATGACTGGTACCAGCGGTGTCAAGATCGGCCTCTGTGGAGGAGGCTCGTGAAGAACGCTGCTGCTACTGGGCAGTTGGAGGCAGTCGCCCTCCAACAACAACGGAGGGCTGATGAGCGATGCTCACAACAATGTGTGGAGCGCCGGGCGGATAAATCACTCGGTCAACTTACATTACCTGGGTCTGTCCCGTGACCTCCTGCCAGTGATGTCTCCGACACTGTCCGCTTCCGTGGATTGATCTGTGTGGACCGGAGTGTCACTTGAAGTAGAAAGGGATCTCACAAGTAGCTCGGTAATATCCGCTTCCGTGGGAAGTTTTTGACACGCACATCACCCGTAACCACGCATCTCCCGTTACCATGCCGCCCGTAACCACGCGTCTCCCGTAACCGCGTCTCCCGTAACCGCGTCTCCCGTAACCACGCCACCCGTAACCACGCCACCCGTAACCACGCCACCCGTAACTACGCCGCCCGTAACCACGCATCTCCCGTAACCACGCATCTCCCGTAACCACGCGTCTCCCGTAACCACGCGTCTCCCGTAACCACGCGTCTCCCGTAACCACGCGTCTCCCATAACCACGCATCTCCCGTAACCACGCATCTCCCGTAACCACGCGTCTCCCATAACCACGCATCTCCCGTAACCACGCGTCTCCCGTAACCACGCGTCTCCCGTAACCACGCGTCTCCCGTAACCACGCGTCTCCCGTAACCACGCATCTCCCGTAACCACGCATCTCCCGTAACCACGCGTCTCCCGTAACCACGCATCTCCCGTAACCACGCATCTCCCGTAACCACGCGTCTCCCGTAACCACGCGTCTCCCGTAACCACGCATCTCCCGTAACCACGCATCTCCCGTAACCACGCGTCTCCCGTAACCACGCCGACCGTAACCACGCGTCTCCCGTAACCACGCCGACCGTAACTATGCCGACCGTCTCTTCTGTTTACTTTCCAGGCTTCCGCTGTCGCCAAGCATTTCGTGGCACTCTCCACGAACGGGGTGAGTGCCAGCCCCACCCCCACTACCCCCACCCCCCCACCCCCTCCCCTGACCCCACCCCGCCCCCACCCCTGACCCCACCCCCACCACTACCCCACCCCTGACCCCCCACCCCACCCTCCCACCCTCGCCCCCACCCCGCCAATACCCCCACCCCTGACCCCACCCCCACCCTCCCACCTCACCCCCACCCCCGCCCACCCCTGACCCAACCCCCGCCCCCACCCTCCCACGTCTGACACTTGAACTCAGGTGACACGAGGTCACCTTGACACTTGAATTCAGGTGAGACGAGGTCACCTTGACACTTGAACTCAGGTGAGACGAGGTCACCTTGACACTTGAACTCAGGTGAGACGAGGTCACCTTGACACTTGAACTCAGGTCACCTTGACACTTGAACTCAGGTCACGTGAGGTCACCTTGACACTTGAACTCAGGTCACACGAGATCACTGACACTTGAACTCAGGTCACGTGAGGTCACCTTGACACTTGAACTCGGGTGACACGAGGTCACCTGGACACTCGAACTCAGGTCACCTGAGGTCACCTTGACACTTGAACTCAGGTCACCTGAGGTCACCTTGACACTTGAACTCAGGTCACGCGAGGTCACCTTGAGACTCGAACTCAGGTGACACGAGGTCACCTTGACACTCGAACGAGGTGACCTTGACATCACGAGGTCACCTTGAGACGATGACCTTGAGGGACCCCATGACACCACGGCTTGCCCTTCTTTTCGTGTGCGCTCGTTGTCACACAGCCCAAGGTGCAGGCGTTCGGGATCGACACGGCCAACATGTTTGAGTTCTGGGACGTGAGTACGCACACACGCGCAGCGCCTTGGGTTCACGGTTCGCCTCGCTGGCTAGGAGATGTTGACTACCACGCCTGCTACGCAGGAGGTCGTGGGTTCAGTGTGTCTCTGTGTGTGTCTCTGTGTGTGTCTCTGTGTGTGTCTCTGTGTGTGTCTCTGTGTGAGTCTCTGGGTGTGTCTCTGGGTGACTCTCTAGGTCTCTGTGTGTGTCTGTGAGTCTCTGGGTGAGTCTCTGTGTGTGTCTCTGTGTGTGTCTCTGTGTGTCTCTCTGGGTCTCTGTGTGTGTCTGTGAGTCTCTGGGTGAGTCTGTGGGTCTCTGTCTGTGTCATTGAGTCTTTGTGTGGGTCTCTGTGTGAGTCTCTGTGTGAGTCTCTGTGTCTCTGTGTGTGTCAGTGAGTCTCTATGTGTGTCTCTGTGTGGGTCTCTGGGTGAGTCTCTGTGTCTCTGTGTATGTCAGTGAGTCTCTGTGTGGGTCTCTGGGTGAGTCTCTGGATAATAACTGTGGCGAATATCTGAACCGGTCCTGGGCCTCCCCTAGGTTGACTCGGCCTTAAATGAGTGCCTGGTGCGGTGGTGTGCATCATACATCATCACTGGGAGAGACAAAGGCGGCCGGGCGTGGTCTTAGCCACACCACACCCACATAGGCGCTGCTCGCTAACAGCACTTGCCACAACAGCGTGTGTGGGCTACATGGGGGACCTTTGTCTTTGTGCAGTGGGTGGGCGGGCGATACTCTCTGTGGTCAGCCATCGGTCTCTCCATCGCCCTGCACATCGGTGAGCCTCACCACGAACCACTCACCAACTCACCTAACCCTCACCACTCACCACTCATAAACTCACCTAACCCTCACCACTCACCACTCACCAGACCCTCACCACTCACCACTCATAAACTCACCACTCACCACTCATAAACTCACCACTCACCACTCACCTAACCCTCACCACTCACCACTCACCTAATTCTCACCACTCACCACTCATAAACTCACCACTCACCACTCACCTAACCCTCACCACTCACCACTCATAAACTCACCAGACCCTCACCACTCACCACCTGACCCCCCCCCCCACTCACCACCTGACCTCCCACCGTGACCCCCCCCACTCACCACCTGCCCCCCCCGTGACCCCACCCCACTCCCCACGTGACCCCCCCCCCCACGTGACAGGCTTCGACAACTTTGAGAAGCTGCTGGATGGCGCCCACTGGCTGGTGAGTGCCGCCACCCACGTCGCCACTACAACTCAACAACAACACAACAACACATCACAACACAACAACACATCACAACACAACAACAACACAACAACAACAACAACAACAACACAACAACAACTCAACAACACATCACAACACAACAACAACAACACAACAACAACATCACAACAACACAACAACAGCACAACAACACAACAACACAACAACACAACAACAACACAACAACAACAACACAACAACAACAACAATATCACAACAACACAACAACAACACAACAGCAACACAACAACTCAACAACACAACACAACAACAACATCACAACACAACAACAACACAACATCACAACACAACACCACAACAACAACAACAACACCGCCGACACTTGCCGTCGCCTTGCCCAGGACAAGCACTTCCAGGAGGCTCCGCTGGAGCGCAACGTGCCGGTGCTGCTGGCGCTGCTGGGCACG